GCGATCCCTGCAGTCAAAAAGTTATTTCATTTATTATAATTAGAAACATAATTTCCGAATTTGAGATGACTAGTGATTCGCTAGAAACTTTATATTTAATAAAAATAAAACAAAAGTTTGTCCCGTCGTGGGAATCGAATTCCTAACACATGCTGCGACGGCCGCTTTAACCATTGCACCATGGCGTTCAAAATTTAAATAAAACATATTAATTCGTTAGTCAGTGTTCGTTCGAAATCAGTCTTACAACAATTTAATACTTAATGTTTATATACGAGTACAATTTGATTGAAACACACTACTTAATATAATTGTTTGTTTGATTATAAGTATTTCAAGTTATCAGTATTATTCATTATAAAACATCAAATACAGAATAATGGACTTTCTATGACTGTAAAATAAAAATTAAGAGTAAAGCGCTCGGACTAACCAGAAATATCTAGTGTTGTAACACTTAAAGGATTTGATATTTTTTTCCTTCTGCTCCTAACTACCATATCGCATCCTCGGTGCAACAAAGTCACAAGTAGGCAAAATTGCCAAAATGACTTAAGTATGCCAAATTGTCTATAAACCATTTCTTCGTTTGGGAAATCAAAGACAGCCGCGAAATTATTTGAATATATCGATAATTGGCATTAGTGCCTTTGTCGTTCTTGCTACTTTTTCGAGGAATATTGGGAGAACAGAGTATGATTGGTAAGTAGTGACCCCGCGCCCGCAGGAGTCAGTCGTGACTTGGAGCTACACCGGCTTAAAGGTATTAATGACAATTTTTATTCACGTATATTGAAATAACAAAGTGCCATTATAACGCTCAAATAATTAAATTATATTTGTACCTGGTGCGACATAGTCACAAGTTACGACTTTTTTTTTGTTTCCTTTTTTTTTTTCAATTTTCTAATAAAATCAAAGAAATCTTTTTACATGATACTGTATGTAGTTAAAAGAACAAATAATATAATTTTAATGAGATATCCCGGCTGCTGTAGGTAGTAATCTAGAAAAAAGGAAAATTGATCGAAAAAAAACTTAAAAGTCCGTTCCTGTAAAATTACAAAATGACCTGTTGTGACTTTGTTGCACCGAGGGTGCGATATAGTATATTTATACGGTCCGTCTTCCGGACGACTTAACGTGGAAAATTGGGGAAAGTTAAAACCAACTACCTAGTTATTACTAGAATTCTTCTCACAAGGCTCGACTATTTGGAAACGGGGCGGTTATAGATTGACACAGGCGGACAGTAATGTCGGTTTTCTTTTTGTTTCATTAAATTTACAATGACAAATGTAAAATCTAATTTTAATTAAAAAGATTCTACGAATTTTAACAACTACAGTAATTTAATTTGAAACCACACTTGACTATAGATATTGCGTAAGGCTAGCAACAGCTGGCAGCATGCTTGGTAATTTTTTCACAGTAATAGAATATTACCTTTTAAAAAAAACTAGGGCATCTAGAGATGTTTCCTCGCAAATTTAGTCGCTAATTGGTCGCCAATACCAGAAGTTTGTGTTATATTTTCAAATGAGGATATAACACAATATTAGATTAAAAGAGAACAACTTGAGGAATTTGAACTTGAAACCATGTTCATCCATTTTAACATCACTTCGAAATGTTTTAATTACTACTACTCAAGTATTGAATAATCGCTGATGACGTCAAGAGTAGGGAGGGAGAGTAATTCCAGGTTCAATGTGGGCCGATCCCGGCGGCACTGCAATGCCGGGCCGACCCGTGACGGGAGTGGAGCGAGCCCCGAACATCCCGTCAGCTTACAAAAATCAGTTTAATATACTGGTCCCTCAGTGAGGGAACTTTCAGATATTAAGCTGAAAAGAACAGATACTACACTTTGATCTTAGCCAAAAGGCCGAGAAGCGATAACTAAACTAGGTTCAACGGGGGAAGTCATTCCCTTGCCGAGAATCTTAACATCGCAATACATAGATGACGTCATATGTACAATGACATCTGTTGAGTTATATGATGAACTAATAAGCACATGCTAGTCACCACCCCTCGGTGAATTACACAGACACCTGCCCTCCTTCTTACTGATACATTTAATAACAATAATAGAATACTTCTGTTCAGAAGAAAATAATAACATTGCCGGATTTGGTGATGTTGAATACAAAGCTATTAGATATAAAATTATATGTAAATATGGCAACGAGGACCATGTCATTTGTATTTAATTGGAAAACGTACTGAAAAGGAGCACTTATACTAATTAAGATATTCTGGAAAAAGTCCGACGACAAAACAGGCGACAGATTTTTCCGAATACTTTACAAACTTAGGTAGACATACAGTGTAAAGTCATCTGATACTTTATGAAATACAAACGTTTAAAAATATTGAAAATCATTTTCTTTTTGTGCTCAGGCCTCTGGGTTACCCAGGGATCTCCTTCAGCACTCCTTGCACATCGTCATAATGTATTAATGATGGTGGCCAAGCCAGTGTCAGTATGAACACTATTTTATAATTATCAAATCGACAACAGAATGACTTTGTACTTCTCTTTGTAACGTTTAGTAAAAAAGTAGAGTCATTTACCCTCCCAATGGTACTATAATAGTTCTGTTGTGTGCTTCACACCAGTCTTCATCAGTGAGTACCGGCCAGGTGTCAGAAATAAAAACAATTTCATCCAAAAACATATAATTTATTGTCATATAATAATGGGGTTAAATTACAGATATACCTACATAACACAGAGTGTATCTAGCCTAAAGGATATGGTGATTCCAGGACTTTTATATTGCAGTAGAACAGATCTTTATATTAGACAAACTATTAGTTAGATTATTTAGTAATGTACAAAAATATATATTCAAGACACCGTTGTGTTATTTATTTAATATCATCATCTGCCTACCCCTATCCCAATTGTATTTGGGGTCGGCGCAGTGAGTATGATTCTTCTATTATACTCTATTATTCGTCATCTCACTGTTCACTCCCTTCCTAGCCATATCCTCTCTCTCACAGTCCGTCCACCTTTTCTTTGATCTTCCTCTCCTCGGGTACCCTTCAACTCCTATACATTTTCCTCATCCCACTGCATGACACGACATGGTGTTATTTATTTAATATATTAAAATATAATAGTTGATATAAAAACATACCTAAGGGTATTAAAATATAACACCTTTAACGTGTGTATTTCATGTGTGACGACTGACACCATCGCGGTCATTCCCAGAGAGGGTCCCCGCCAACCATTATTTTTATGTTAACTTTTGCTTTCCATGTTTTGTAATAATATGTTGACAGGAATCAACAGGCTGCCGTAAGTTTGTCATCACGGCTAGAGCTACCTGGTGGAACAGTCAGTTAAATCAAGGCCATGTTATTTCTATTAAATACGTAATCACCTTAATTTATGTAAATATTATTATTTTATTTAAATGTACAAATAACTGCATTTTTAAATAAATTAGTACATCTGTGTTAAGTATATAATTGATACAAGTAAATTCATTGCTAGCTTATATTTACATTTTAATTTCGCCTTGCGATTATTTTCACTATATACATATTATACATGTAAATTAATGTTTGTGTCTTTTAAATAAATAAATATGAAAAATAACATGTGTCGAGATTGATTTGACACTTTTAACTTTAGGAAGAATATAGTATAACTATGATGTTCAAACGCCGTAGTCACATATAATATACATGACAAAACACGATGCACAACAAAAATACCACTAATTTTCATTCGTTCTTATTGGTTGTGATTTGTCCTAATATTTTTTTAAACACAACTTCCGCACTAGAAATCCTGTGACTCAGAACAACAATTTATGGATAATACAAAGTGTTGTGCCGTGTGGGTATCTAACCCACGACACTCAACGCAGTAGGAAGCGGCGAGGTGACCGCTTAAACCACTACGCGATCCGAGCAGTCAAAAAGTTATTTCATTTATTATAATTAGAAACATAATTTCCGAATTTGAGATGACTAGTGATTCGCTAGGAACTTTAAATTTAATTTAAAAAAACAAAAGTTTGTCCCGTCGTGGGAATCGAATTCCTAACACATGCTGCGACGGCCGCTTTACCCATTGCACCATGGCGTTCAAAATTTAAATAAAACATATTAATTCGTTTGACAGTGTTCGTTCGATATCAGTCTTGCAACAATTTAATACTTAATGTTTATATACAATTTGATTGAAACACACTACTTAATATAATTGTTTGTTTGATTATAAGTCTTATAGATGTCGAAATATCGATTACCTACGTAATACAAACTAACAGCCTCTATATTTAGAGAATGTTCGGTTAATATGACATTCTATTGGATTTATTGTGATTTAATTATAAATAAATAAATACCGTCTTTCTCTAATATTTCAAGTTATCAGTATTATTCATTAGAAAACATCACAGTCATAGAAAGTCCATTATTCTGTATTTACAGAATAATGGACTTTCTATGACTGTAAAATAAAAATAAGAGTAAAGCGCTCGGACTAACCAGAAATATCTAGTGTTGTAACACTCAAAGGATTTGATTTCTTTTTCGTTCTGCTCCTAACTACTATATAGTATATTTATACGGTCCGTCTTCCGAACGACTTAAGGTGGGGTAGGGCCCTCATAAAGTGTTCCCACGACTTGGTGAAAGTAGTGGGAAGCCGTCGGATTCAGGAAGCACAGGACGCCTTTCGGCTAAGATTGTGATGATATTTTAACATTTTCAAAATGTAACACAAAAATATGTCTCCCGTTGTTACTAAAAATTTTGAGAACTGAAGGTTCTTATTCACATTATATAACATTAAAATCCTGCATATTATTGTTTGATATTATGACAAGAGTCTGACCGTTTGAGAGTAACACATTCTGCATCAAACAAACTACGTTACAAAGTGTGTACATCCAGTGTACAATGTGTCACACTCCGACACTCCTGTCGGTCCCTTGAGCTGATATCTGCACCGTAGCTAGGCGCGTTGCTCAGCGGTTAAGCGCGACCCATCCGTTGTTCCCGTCCGGCAGCTTGATCTGTATCAGTCGGACTACTCCGCCGTTCTCATCGTTGGCTACGATCTGAAATACGAAAGGTAATATATAAATAAAGCAGATAATACGTACGAAAGCTCAGACTTTCTTGTTAATTTTGGGTAGTCTTTGTATTAACGGGCCATTCATAAATTATGAGCACACGTTCGAGTGAAGGGTCAGTCATCACCAAAAGCTTTAGTAAGCCACTGCTGGACATAGGCCTCTCCTTAGACTACTATACCACGCTGGCCAGACGGGTTGGTATAGGGTTTGTTTCAAGTTTTCCATCTCTTTGCAGTGCTGTTGTGTGACAAGGGGTAGGGGTTATATAAGTTTCGTGACGTCACATGTCAAATTCTAAAGTATTAAACACCAAACATAAGCTCTAAACCAAAAACTATTAACTGCTATAAACAATATATGGAACTGCTCCTTTTAGTGGTTCAGTTCAGCAAGCCAATTCTCGTAATAAAAGTTCGGTCACAATTCAGTGTCGGTAAAATCTCGACCTCACATCTGTCATAAAAGATATAGAAATCGGTATTCTGCTAGTCTTAGTAATACTTTACTATTTTATTACGAAAATACATTAAATGACAGTTGCGAAATCGAGGGTTGATCGAAACTGAAATTTGACCGACCGACCTTTAATACGAGAAATTGGCCTTCTGATTGTTAAATAGTTAAATATGAGAGGTAAGAATGTGTGTGGTCCAAAAATCATAAAATTCTTGTGACGGTCTATTAAAGATTGACTTAAAAAATTAAATGTAATATTTGTCAAATTAAATGTTCCTTTTTTATAAATGAACATTTGTTTGTAGATAATTAGAGTAGGTAGTGTTATTTATCTGAAAACGTTTGTTCGTTTAAATATAGGCCAACGAAAACGTAGATCGATTAATTCATTTAATTAATACAAAAGGTTGAATAGTTGGCTCGATAGATGGCGTTGACTCGAAAATTTGATGGATAAGAAGGAACAATATTCATTCTTTGATTGTAAAACATCAAGCATTGTGACGAAATTTTATACGCACTTAGTATTTAGTCAAGTGTTTCATACCCAAGCCACTCCACGTCGACCTGTCTACAACGTTTGTAAACAGCGATGGTAGATAAACCGACTGCATCATTAGGGGTTTTGTACACATCCAAAGCTACTAGATCTGCTTACCTCGGTTTGATCAGACAACTGTTCAGCGCTGACCGCTTCCAAAATTGCATTCTGACTTCTATCGCCAAGATTATCTGTCAATGTCAACACAAGTATATTAGTTATAATTTATTTTCTTTTTCTATTGAACATGAGCTTTAGTAAGCTTGACTAACTAACTAAACAGCTGTGTAAGAACCATACTTTGGCACAAATACGCGAAACCACGGCCTCACATAAAACCGGTCATAGTCTGGATGAAATGATTGGTTTTAGTCACACCGAATTCACATGTGTTTGTAATTTCGTCGTATACAAAGATAAATCTAATTATTATTTTAAAATGCTTGTACTTATATATTAAAAAAAAACAACTTTGGGAAATGCCCGGAAAAGGCTAATAAGTTGAGACAAATTGTTATTATGAGACCATTTATGTACACGGTTGGCAAATAAAGATTGATTTGATTTTAAATGCCATTAAAATCAATCGAAATTCTTTAACGCCCCTTTCTAGGCTCTTATATCCGCTTACCATCAGAGGGGCCGTAGTCTGTACTCGTGCTTTAAAAAAAAAACTTACGTATAGTCAGCAATGTAGGGTCTTCATTCTCTTGAAGAAGGCTCAATGTCGTTTTTTCAGCTGAAATGTTAAAAATAATATTTACATATATATTCACACTGGTCGCTGGGTCACACTTCTATTAACTTCGATTGCTTTGATGTTTTTCGCACTGTAGCTCGAACAGAACTAACTGCAAAGAAGACGTGCTCGTATTTATAATACTCGTAAAAGATAATTCTTATTTACTTATTGCTACAGCTGTCTCGGAAACCGCCCAACCAACTACAACCCACAAAAGACAGCACTAGATGACAGACGGTACCTTCAAACTTGTAGAAAACCGTCGAAAGATGAAGGTGGCTGGAGCTGATACCAAGGATCTCAACAAAATGACAGCACAGATACAACGCAGATGCAGAGAAGATCACAACACCTACCTGCGCAATATCTGCAAAGATATTGAAGTTCATGCTGACAAATATGAATTAAGAGACCTGCATCACAAGATCTGCCTCATCACAAAGACTTTGCCATCCAGAACATAGGCGATCGAAGACCAGAACGGCCATGTGATCACTGAACTGGATAAGGTTTCGGAGGTTTGGAGGAATTACTGTCAGTCTTTGTTCCAGGACCATCAGTCGCAAAACTTTAAACCTACGACACCTGCGAGTGACATGCTCGAGCCCGTTATTTTGGAGTCCGAAATAAGAGCCATTAAATACCTAAAGAATGGGAAAGCCACAGGAAAAGATGCCATCCCAATTGAAACCATACGGACATTGGGAGAGCGTGGCGTACCTACACATCTTTCACGTCATTTGCAATAGAACATGGCTTGCTGGCAAATGGCCCTCGGAATGGGCTCACACTATATTCACTCCTCTTCACAAAAAAGGTTCCACGAAGAAGTGTAGCAATTTCCGACTTATTGCGCTTATTACACATGCCAGCAAAGTAATGGTACACATCATAAATGAGCGGCTCAAAGCATATCTATCCAGAGAAATTGCGCCAGAACAGGCCGGATTTGTTAAGGGAAGAGGAACCCGTGAACAGATTCTCATCGTTCGCCAAATAATCGAGAAGGCCCGAGAGTTCCACGGGCCCACTTACATATGCTTTGTCGATTTCTCCAAAGCATTCGACTCGGTGAAGTGGCCAACGTTGTGGAAAACACTACTTGACATGGCACACCACAACACCTCGTGCACCTACTGAGGAAGCTCTACGAAGGAGGAACAGCCTCTGACTGACGACCTCCTCTCGGATAATTTCCATCCCAGTGCGGGCGTTCGACAAGGATGCATAATCTCACCTTTGCTATTCAACATCTACACCGAGCTTATGATGGGAATCACTCTGGAAGACTGGACCGATGGTGTTACGGTTGGTGGATACAAGATTACCAACTTGCGGTACGCAGACGATACCACTTTGTTTGCGAGTAATGCTTGCCTAATGGAGGAATTGCTTCTCAAAATGGAGCGCGTAAGCCTTACGTTTGGGTTAAAGATAAACCGATCTAAGACCAAAGTGATGATCGTGGACCGCATCAACGATAACTCGCCGGAAGTGACACAGATTCCGAACTGTGACGTGGTCCAGACCTACGTATACCTTGGGGCTTTAATATCAAATAACGGTGGCTGCGTAGATGAAGTAAAATGACGTATGGCCATAACGAGAATTGCAATGGAGAAGTTAAAGAGAGTTTGGGGGAATCGCAACCTCACCAAAGCCACCAAAATCAGGCTCGTGCGAACTCTCATATTCCCCATATTTCTGTACGCCGCAGAGACGTGGACAGTCCGTGAGTTGGAAAAGAAGAAGATTGACGCTCTAGAGATGTGGTGCTGGAGGAAAATGCTCGGGATACCGTGGACGGACTTCCGCACCAACGTGTCCATACTCCAGGAGCTCGGCATTACAGAGCGTCTGTCAACCACGGTACAGTTGCGCATACTGCAATATTTTGGACATGTCTCTAGGCGGAATAGCGACTCCATAGAGCGACTGGTAGTGCAAGGCAAGGTGGAGGGAACCAGATGCCTATGCGCTGGACCGACCAGGTGAGATCCGCGGTGGGAGGCTGCGTGTCCGATTGTATCCGACAGTCTGTCGACAGGGAGAGATGGCGGCGATTATACAAAGGGCTGTGTCCGCTTCTGACGCCGGCGTGGACGTCTCAATGTGACCACGACCGCTCTGCCAAGAGCGACACGACATAGAAGAAGAAAAGATAATTCTAGCAAATTCCAATCCCTGCGAGAACCGTTCGGTTCTGAGAAATACCAATTTCGTTGCGAATGTAACCAAGATAATCGCGCGACATTCTATTTCAGATCTTATGCGTATCGGTATAGAACTTATTGTTCCTGTATTATTATTAAACGGTTCCCGGAAATGCGCGGTCAATTGAAAAAATTCTTTGTGAGAATGTCACTGTGATAGATTGTATCTTTAGGATATCTCATAGATTGAACCTATAGGACATCAGATTGTTTATAATTTTACTCCCTATTAGAGAAATACTGTTTTGGCACCAGAAAATAGGATAAAGTAGTTGAGTACTTACGATCTTGTAATATTAATTTCTTATCATCTGATATTATATTGCAAATTAGTTTTGTATCCTGTAATTCCTCTGTTTTGACTGAAAAAGAAGAAATATTTTTTTTACATTTACTATCTCTTTTGGCATGTCAAGTATATAGGTGGACTTATATGCAGGACTGAGTCTGAAGGCATCGCAACAGGATATGGGCTCTACTTTCTTGCCTAAACTGGAGCTACCCTCTTGAGTTAAAACTTACACCATATTTATTTTATCCATAGGTAAGAAAATAAAATCAGAAATTTGTTTTTAGTAAATTTCAATTTTTTTTACAATTGGACAATATGGAATTCAAAAACACTATATACTCACCAAAACTGACTGATTTGACACTAGTATCTAATTCGCTCGCTGCAAATATCTGAAAATTAAAAATCGCTGTTTAAAATTTAAATCTTACAATATTTTATCTATATAATAATAATAATATTCTACCACATACACACAACGCCATCTAGTCCCAAACTTAGCACAGCTTGTACTATGGGTACTAGACAACTGATATAAATACATATATACTTTTTTTTTGTAAATACATACATATTATACATAGAAAACACCCAGACCAGATCAAACATCAAATGTTCATGCACACAAATGTTTGACTTGAGCGGGAATCGAACCCGCGACCTTTGGAATAGCAGTCCGTTACGCAAACCACTACGCCATCCAGTCGTCGAATACATCATGATATACATTTATTTACATATTTTTTAGAGTAAAAGACACAAATAATTCTTATTCTTAACTGTTTTTAGCTCTCAACTTAACACACAATACACACGGCCGTCAGAGGCCCAAGTGCGAGTTTATTTCATATTAACTCGCTTGACACGGTGACCGCGTTCGGCGCTACGATTGGCCCGCACTGAAATCTCCACCAATCACAACGCTCAACGCGCTCGCTGTCGATATAAAATAAGCTTGCACTCGGCCCTCTGATCCCAAACTAAGCGGACCCTGTACTATGGTAAGTAGACTGCTCATTAATATTTCTAATTACATACATATTTATAGACAAACTAGCTTTTGCCCGCGGCTAATAAATAGTAGCCTATATCCTTTCTCAAGAACTATCTCCATACAAAATTTCATCTAAATCGGTGCAGCGGTTTAGGCGTGAAGAGGTAACAGACAGACACACTTTCCCATTTATAAAATGATCGTGCTCATCGCATGATCACTTTGCCCTGATTGGAAATCGAGCCCACAGCGTCTGGCTCCATAGTCAGTATCACTAACCAATAGACTAACAAGTCTGTCAAAAAGGGTTAATCGCAATAATAATAATAAATATTGTACCACATTCACACAACGCCATCTAGTCCCAAACTAAGCAGAGCTTGTACTATGGATACTACACAACTGATATAAATACATATATACTTTTTTTTTTGTAAATACATACATATTATACATAGAGACACCCAGACCAAATCAAACATCAAATGTTCATGCACACAAATGTTTGACTTGAGCGGGAATCGAACCCCCGACCTTTGGAATAGCAGTCCTTTACACAAACCACTACGCCATCACGTCGTCAAAAAAAAAAAAAAAAAACTTACCGTATCAAATTTGTTGAGTGACTGCGACTCAGATGTTTCATTCGCCACGGAAGCACTCGGGTTCTGAGGGAAATAATTTATAATGATAATATTTTCAGACATTTCACACACGGCCGTCTGATCCCAAACTAGGTAGAGGCTTTACAATGGTAACCAGACTGATAAACATACATACATATTATAGATAAGTACACCTATACACAGAACAAATGACCGTGCTCATCATACAATTATTTGTCCTGGGTGGGAATCGAACCCACGACCTCTGACGTAGCAGTCAGGGTTACTAACCACTAAACCAGCAGGCCAGTCAAAAGTAATGTATGTTTAGGATTAAGGAAAAGGTAGGGTATTAATAATTCCTGTATAGTGAGGTACAATAGAACAAATCCCATACCAACCGTCCGTGGTATAATAGGCCAATACCTTCGTTCTAACTCTAAGCGTACAACATAAAAAATCGACTTTATTTTATACTATGTTGTGGATTCTAATATAAACTCACATTTTCTGAGACCTTGATGACTCTTGGTTGGTTAACCACTATCGATTCCGCCAAATGACCCTGAAAGTAAATAGAAAAATAATAATTGTTAATTTAGTTACATATTTTACTGTGTAAAATATTGTACTGTGGTGTGGTACTGGTGTACTGACGCTGGTGTTCATGTGCGCGTAGAGGAGCTGCTTGCGCATGTACCCGGCGCCGCACGCGACGCACTCGTAGGGCTTCTTGTCGCTGTGCACGAACCGGTGCGTGTTGCGGTTGTCCGCCGAGTTGAACGACTTGCCGCAGATCTGACGGGCACAGGACAGTCTCACGTCACTCACATATCCATACTAATATTATAAAGCTGAAGAGTTTGTTTGTTTGTTTGAACGCGCTAATCTCAGGAACTACTGGTCCGATTTAAAAAATTCTTTCAGTGTTAGATAGCCCATTTATCGAGGAAGGCTATAGGCTATATATCATCACGCTAAGACCAATAGGAGCGGAGCACCAATGAATAATGTTTCAAAAACGGAGAAAATTTATTACTATTGAGAGACGCAGACGAAGTTGCGCGGGTCAGCTGGTTCTATATAAAAGCTAATTATCTAAAAACTAAGTTCTGAGGACCTAGTATGAGTTTATTTCACATGTACCTACTAACTCGCACTAAACTCTTCACCGACCACAATAACCGAACACGGTCACCGTGACGATCTAGTGGATGTAAAATAAACTCACAATAGGTCCTCTGAAAACCACACTCATAAAGTAATTAAAGGCGCAGATGAAATAGACATTTTGATATTAACGACTGTTTGATACTGTGAACGCTTTGATTCGGTGAACTTTATTTGACTAAAAGAGTGAGGTTACCGGAACTTAAACCCTCCGTCACCCTAATTGTAAAGTGGAGAGACTCAAAGCGGTGAAACCCTTGTGACTCTTGAGTTGGGTTTTCAATGAACGGCGTATTAACCATTAGACAACCCATCTGCTCGTATACCATTAAAAAGAAAATAGTTTTAAAACTTTTTTTTTTAAATTAGTGTATTGTCATCGGTCCTCAATATATCAACAAATTTTGAACGAATTCTGACCGTTTAAACTTAGTCAAAACCACACCCAAAGGAGTCGGTTACAAACAAACATTACAACATACAAGTGAAGCTAATATAAAGCGTGTAAAAACAAAAAATCCTCTTCGATCACTGCAGTGAGGATCCGACAGCAAAGTTTCGCAATCTGCAAGCCTAGGCTATGTCAAATTTTTATTGCAATGAACATAGCAGAAACTGAATTCCTTATTATCAGGATACAAGAACTTCCACCTGTGTCTGAGCATGCTTCTATCGCGATTAAGACGTGAAACATACAAAATCACATTCGTTTCTCATAAGGCTTAACTACTTGGTAACGGTTTTAGCCTTTACCAGTCCACTGCTGGACATAGGCCTCTCCTTGATAGATATTTTGAGATCGAGTTTACCTCACACACATAGGGTCTGTCCCCACTGTGTATACGTATGTGCTTCTTGTAATGTTCGGGGTATACAAAGGACGCGCCACACACTTTGCACTTGAGGGGCCGCTCGCCCGTGTGAGACGCCTTTATGTGGTACTCTAACAATCTGGAAACAATAAAAACACATTCATTATTGTACTTCAATAAACACATTTTCTTATACGGTTGGTCCTTTCTTTAAAAGGCCTACCCAGACTCTACACTGTACTCGCATAGTTTTTTTAACTTCGTTTACGGACTAAAAAAAATACACCTTTGGGGTTTGTTCTGGCGTTTTTCCCAGAGTGAGTCTTAGGAAATGCCGGCTCCATGTAGCTGTAAAGTCCGACTTGTAAAAAGATCTGAAAATATTTACTTTCAGAGAAAACGGTGAAAATCTATGGACCAGCGGTCGGAAAGAAGTTCCTTTCGCTTTTTGGTAGACGTTTACAAGTGTCGGAAAAAAGTCTTGTTACACATTTCTCGGCGTCGCTCAAAGCGTGTAACGCGTGATAAGGAAATTCGTTCCAATAAATATCATTTATATAGTGGAGAGTCAAGTTTGGGTACAACTGGGCAAGCTCGATCAGAGTAATGCCAGGGCCTCATAAAAATAATTTATTTAGCTGCTTTTCACGGAGTGATTAAAGTTACTAGAACCCAACCTCTTGTTTTCACTCATTGGTTTTGAGGGAGAGAACTCATGCCCATAGGTTCCGATAGCCACTTACCATCAGGTGACCGGTCTACTCGTTTGCCTGTATCATAAAAACATTTTGAACAGGTTTAGACGTTATTTGTTGAAACCCCACATGGGACGACACTTTGTGTGATCCACAAATTGTTGTTCTGAGTCTGGGTGTTCTTTGTGTCCGTTTCATGTAAGTTTGTAAAGTCCCCCGCGACACAGGATATATTCCTAATGCGGGAGTTGTCTTTTTAAAAACAAAATACAAATACAAAATATTTTTCTAGAAGTGTTTTTTGTTTGTTTTATTTAATAAGGCAAGTAATGCACTAGTACCTCCTGCGCTTGAACCTCTTGGGACAGAGCGTGCAGGAGTGTCGCTTGTCGTCCAGGTGCGTGGCGCGGCGGTGCGAGTGCAGGTTGGAGCGCTGCGTGAAGCGCGCGCCGCAGATGTCGCACGGGAACGGACGCTCGCCTAGAGGGGGGGGGGGGGGGCGGCATTAGTTCGATGTGTCTTCGATAGATGGCGCTGTAGTATATTTCCTTGTTTCACCACATGTGGAAGTCCATATGTGGTCCGTGTGGTAACGGATTAAGAATACAGAGTATCACCACCTCTGTTCATCCCGTTGGTGTCGTAAGAACCGACTAAGAGAAAAAACTACGCAGAACAACAGCACTGCAGAGTAAAGGAAAACTTGACACAAACCCTATACCGACCCGTCTCAACTCTTAGGTCAAACCCTCCTTTCTAAGAATAGGCTTATGTCCAGCAGTGTAGTATTAAAGGCTGCTGATGATGTGGAAGACACTACAAGATCGACCCCATAAGACTCGAATAATACTTTTTAACCATAATTATTACCCTGTGAAAACTTTATTTGTATCATTAAATCTTCATAGATTCTTTACTACATTATTTATTTTTGTTATACACACAGCAGTTCCTGTATAGAGATATTTGCTCTATAGAGAATAAGTCCACATATGCCATTAGTTAACAGTAATTACAATAATAAAACATTAGTTAATGTACCCCAAGACCTAGCTACTTACACCGTTAAACCCGCTAAGAAATCTACTTTTAATACGTTCTAATAAAAAACAATGTGTCAGTACCAGTGTGTGTCCTCATGTGGTCCCTGAGCTCAGCTCTTCTGGCGAAGGCCTTGGAGCAGACGTTGCACACGAACGACTTGTTGCCCGAGTGGACGACGCCGTGGACCTCCAAGTTGTGTTGGGTGCTGAACGCTTTATCTATGGACAAATGGACGTGTAACAATCAAAATTGGTTATTAAAAAAACTTTCTCTACTTTTATGATAATAAGATTTTGAGTATTGAGTATTTCGAACGTCTAACACACAACGCCATCTAGTTTCAAACTAAGCAAAACTTGTACTATGAAAGCTAGATTGACTGATAGAATACTTTTTTTTGTAAATACATAGGTACATATTGTATATAAAAAACACCCGAACGCCGAAACAAATATTTGCAGATCGTACAAACACTTAGCCCTTAGCATAACAGTTGCATAAGCTACCACTGTACAGCCCAGGCAGTTAACTTTCAATACAAAAAAAAAACTAGACAAAACTGTAACACCTTCAGATGTCAAATGAAATTATTACTGATTTTGATAGTGAAAAGCATTTTTGACAATTCTAAAGTTCCATCTTCAACATATACCATGGGGAGCTATGCTTCAGTACAAATGGGTCCAGTCGGTCGGAGTATTACCACGACCCTTTTAGGCGCAGTATGTCAAATTCGTATCCAGGGCCTCATTTCTGCTAGTTTATGTGCAAGCCACTATCATTTCATTGACATGCAATTGAAATGCCATTGATATCGGTCAAAATATCGGTATTCTACTAACATAAATTTACAGTGTCAATGGACTATGGATGTAGTGATGGCTAATCAATGGTGATATCAACAACATTGCCATATCTGGCAAATTAAATATTTAATTATTCATTGAGCCTTCCTGCAAACATACTGCATAAGGCGGACTTAATGCCTCAGGCATTTTCTTCCAGTCAAACCTTTGGGTGTTGCAAAGCTGTGTGTGGCAGGTGTATATTTAGGACAGGTAAGGATGAGAGACTGAATTAAGAAATGTTACAATGGCAGAAAAGAGAAAAATCTACAGATATATAAGTACTATAGGTATACATACATATAGTTTATACATATAAATATCAAAATATAATATATGTAATACAAAGATAATAAATATATCTGGAAAATTTAATATATCATTTACTTAAAAATTTAAAATGTACTGTTTCCAAAATATTACAAAGATATCAACCGTTGCAGTTCAGTGACAATTCTTTGGCAGGCCATTGGTCTTACATAGTTAGTAGAATACGAAAAGTTCAAAACTATTCCATCGACAGTCTATTGATATGATTCTGTTTCGGCACTTGCCGAATGAATATTGGATATTCTTTGAACTTGGCCCTAAACCCCACAGCTACACAGAGAACAGGTGTTAAGCAGTTCTTTCATTGGTTTTCATCGAAGGCAATGGTGCCTAAAATTCGTTTATTTCTGGGAAATTTTATTCTCAGATGCATGTTTGACCCTTTTCTTTCTGGTCGGAACCGGCCTGGCCGGGGCAACAGGTGTACCCTAGAGAGGAAATCCCTGGTACAGAATGTTTGCCCCTGATATGATATTTTTTTAATATATACAATCCACTTACTACATATATTACAGATGAAATCCTTAATCCCTGAGTGAGTTTTTTCATGTTGAATAAGATGCTGTTGCGTTAAGAATGATTTTCCACATTGATTGCATTTGTGTGGACGTGGACGAATCTGAAAGTATAAGACATACATTATATTTAAGGAACTTTGATTTGAAATTGTCTACAGGAATATTTCTACTCTGCAATAGACAGCATTTACATCAGTTTTATATGACTTTTTTCATGTACATTAATGTATGGAAGTAATTTATAATATCAATGAGAACACATGACTTCAAGATCAGGAATATTGTTTGTGGATAAGGTGCTTAAATAGTAATTTGTAAAGTGTACGTACCGCGTGAGTCTTGACGTGCGCCTGGTAGGTGTACTTGTTGGCGAAGGCCTTGTGGCACAGCGCGCAGGCGTGGGGCCTGAGGCCGGCGCGTGTGTGTACGTACCGCGTGAGTCTTGACGTGCGCCTGGTAGGTGTACTTGTTGGCGAAGGCCTTGTGGCACAGCGCGCAGGCGTGGGGCCTGAGGCCGGCGTGTGTGTGTACGTACCGCGTGAGTCTTGACGTGCGCCTGGTAGGTGTACTTGTTGGCGAAGGCCTTGTGGCACAGCGCGCAGGCGTGGGGCCTGAGGCCGGCGTGTGTGTGTACGTACCGCGTGAGTCTTGACGTGCGCCTGGTAGGTGTACTTGTTGGCGAAGGCCTTGTGGCACAGCGCGCAGGCGTGGGGCCTGAGGCCGGCGTGTGTGTGTACGTACCGCGTGAGTCTTGACGTGCGCCTGGTAGGTGTACTTGTTGGCGAAGGCCTTGTGGCACAGCGCGCAGGCGTGGGGCCTGAGGCCGGCGTGTGTGTGTACGTACCGCGTGAGTCTTGACGTGCGCCTGGTAGGTGTACTTGTTGGCGAAGGCCTTGTGGCACAGCGCGCAGGCGTGGGGCCTGAGGCCGGCGTGTGTGTGTACGTACCGCGTGAGTCTTGACGTGCGCCTGGTAGGTGTACTTGTTGGCGAAGGCCTTGTGGCACAGCGCGCAGGCGTGGGGCCTGAGGCCGGCGTGTGTGTGTACGTACCGCGTGAGTCTTGACGTGCGCCTGGTAGGTGTACTTGTTGGCGAAGGCCTTGTGGCACAGCGCGCAGGCGTGGGGCCTGAGGCCGGCGTGTGTGTGTACGTACCGCGTGAGTCTTGACGTGCGCCTGGTAGGTGTACTTGTTGGCGAAGGCCTTGTGGCACAGCGCGCAGGCGTGGGGCCTGAGGCCGGCGTGTGTGTGTACGTACCGCGTGAGTCTTGACGTGCGCCTGGTAGGTGTACTTGTTGGCGAAGGCCTTGTGGCACAGCGCGCAGGCGTGGGGCCTGAGGCCGGCGTGTGTGTGTACGTACCGCGTGAGTCTTGACGTGCGCCTGGTAGGTGTACTTGTTGGCGAAGGCCTTGTGGCACAGCGCGCAGGCGTGGGGCCTGAGGCCGGCGTGTGTGTGTACGTACCGCGTGAGTCTTGACGTGCGCCTGGTAGGTGTACTTGTTGGCGAAGGCCTTGTGGCACAGCGCGCAGGCGTGGGGCCTGAGGCCGGCGTGTGTGTGTACGTACCGCGTGAGTCTTGACGTGCGCCTGGTAGGTGTACTTGTTGGCGAAGGCCTTGTGGCACAGCGCGCAGGCGTGGGGCCTGAGGCCGGCGTGTGTGTGTACGTACCGCGTGAGTCTTGACGTGCGCCTGGTAGGTGTACTTGTTGGCGAAGGCCTTGTGGCACAGCGCGCAGGCGTGGGGCCTGAGGCCGGCGTGTGTGTGTACGTACCGCGTGAGTCTTGACGTGCGCCTGGTAGGTGTACTTGTTGGCGAAGGCCTTGTGGCACAGCGCGCAGGCGTGGGGCCTGAGGCCGGCGTGTGTGTGTACGTACCGCGTGAGTCTTGACGTGCGCCTGGTAGGTGTACTTGTTGGCGAAGGCCTTGTGGCACAGCGCGCAGGCGTGGGGCCTGAGGCCGGCGTGTGTGTGTACGTACCGCGTGAGTCTTGACGTGCGCCTGGTAGGTGTACTTGTTGGCGAAGGCCTTGTGGCACAGCGCGCAGGCGTGGGGCCTGAGGCCGGCGTGTGTGTGTACGTACCGCGTGAGTCTTGACGTGCGCCTGGTAGGTGTACTTGTTGGCGAAGGCCTTGTGGCACAGCGCGCAGGCGTGGGGCCTGAGGCCGGCGTGTGTGTGTACGTACCGCGTGAGTCTTGACGTGCGCCTGGTAGGTGTACTTGTTGGCGAAGGCCTTGTGGCACAGCGCGCAGGCGTGGGGCCTGAGGCCGGCGTGTGTGTGTACGTACCGCGTGAGTCTTGACGTGCGCCTGGTAGGTGTACTTGTTGGCGAAGGCCTTGTGGCACAGCGCGCAGGCGTGGGGCCTGAGGCCGGCGTGTGTGTGTACGTACCGCGTGAGTCTTGACGTGCGCCTGGTAGGTGTACTTGTTGGCGAAGGCCTTGTGGCACAGCGCGCAGGCGTGGGGCCTGAGGCCGGCGTGTGTGTGTACGTACCGCGTGAGTCTTGACGTGCGCCTGGTAGGTGTACTTGTTGGCGAAGGCCTTGTGGCACAGCGCGCAGGCGTGGGGCCTGAGGCCGGCGTGTGTGTGTACGTACCGCGTGAGTCTTGACGTGCGCCTGGTAGGTGTACTTGTTGGCGAAGGCCTTGTGGCACAGCGCGCAGGCGTGGGGCCTGAGGCCGGCGTGTGTGTGTACGTACCGCGTGAGTCTTGACGTGCGCCTGGTAGGTGTACTTGTTGGCGAAGGCCTTGTGGCACAGCGCGCAGGCGTGGGGCCTGAGGCCGGCGTGTGTGTGTACGTACCGCGTGAGTCTTGACGTGCGCCTGGTAGGTGTACTTGTTGGCGAAGGCCTTGTGGCACAGCGCGCAGGCGTGGGGCCTGAGGCCGGCGTGTGTGTGTACGTACCGCGTGAGTCTTGACGTGCGCCTGGTAGGTGTACTTGTTGGCGAAGGCCTTGTGGCACAGCGCGCAGGCGTGGGGCCTGAGGCCGGCGTGTGTGTGTACGTACCGCGTGAGTCTTGACGTGCGCCTGGTAGGTGTACTTGTTGGCGAAGGCCTTGTGGCACAGCGCGCAGGCGTGGGGCCTGAGGCCGGCGTGTGTGTGTACGTACCGCGTGAGTCTTGACGTGCGCCTGGTAGGTGTACTTGTTGGCGAAGGCCTTGTGGCACAGCGCGCAGGCGTGGGGCCTGAGGCCGGCGTGTGTGTGTACGTACCGCGTGAGTCTTGACGTGCGCCTGGTAGGTGTACTTGTTGGCGAAGGCCTTGTGGCACAGCGCGCAGGCGTGGGGCCTGAGGCCGGCGTGTGTGTGTACGTACCGCGTGAGTCTTGACGTGCGCCTGGTAGGTGTACTTGTTGGCGAAGGCCTTGTGGCACAGCGCGCAGGCGTGGGGCCTGAGGCCGGCGTGTGTGTGTACGTACCGCGTGAGTCTTGACGTGCGCCTGGTAGGTGTACTTGTTGGCGAAGGCCTTGTGGCACAGCGCGCAGGCGTGGGGCCTGAGGCCGGCGTGTGTGTGTACGTACCGCGTGAGTCTTGACGTGCGCCTGGTAGGTGTACTTGTTGGCGAAGGCCTTGTGGCACAGCGCGCAGGCGTGGGGCCTGAGGCCGGCGTGTGTGTGTACGTACCGCGTGAGTCTTGACGTGCGCCTGGTAGGTGTACTTGTTGGCGAAGGCCTTGTGGCACAGCGCGCAGGCGTGGGGCCTGAGGCCGGCGTGTGTGTGTACGTACCGCGTGAGTCTTGACGTGCGCCTGGTAGGTGTACTTGTTGGCGAAGGCCTTGTGGCACAGCGCGCAGGCGTGGGGCCTGAGGCCGGCGTGCACGTTGGCGTGCTCCAGCAGCAGCGCGCGGCTGCCGAAGGTCTTGTTGCAGAGCGCGCACGTGTGCGAGGCCGCCCCGACGCCGCGACCGCCCTTCAGGGAACTCGCGTGCTCCACTGCAACCGATTACACATTGTACCATCATTTCAGGTTTCAAACCTCCACTACCAAATGTAACTATTTCTAATAAAACTGTCGTTCGAAGGTTTGAAGGTCATTTCGGTCCGGAAATACCGCAGACGATAACCCGTTCCGGTTTTCTTTAAAGACAACTCCCGCATTAGGAGTATATCCTGTGTCGCGGGGAACTTTACAAACATACATGAAACGGACAGAACGAACACCGAGATTGGTTGGGCAAAAAGTATCCTGAAAAACGCACAGTAGTGGATCGCCGTGTGGAACAACGGCAGAAAGTTGAGGCTGGAATCAGTCCGAACAATTCCTCGGAGTACTCTCCAGGATATGTGCGCCAAGGGATCGAGCCGGTTGGAAATGTTTGGGCTATCGACAATTCGAGTCGCTCTTCGTTGAATGCGGTCCAGAGGGAGAAGCTGGTACTGAGGTGCCCCTGCATAGACATGAGAACAGTATTCCATATGCGGCTGGACTTGCGCCTTATAGAGTTGAAGGCGGTGGGCCGGAGTGAAATACTGCCTGGATCGTTCAGTACACCGAGCTTCTTTGGAGCCAATTTGACCTTACCCTCTAAGTGACCCCGAAATCGGACTTCGCTCGAGATATCGATGCCTAGCATTCTGATGCTAGCTGAGGCAGTTAAGGAGGTGCTCTCAAACCGATGTGATACGACAAATTGTATCTTCTTAGCGATGACCGCACAGAGCTGTCTTTTTTGGATTGAACTGGACTAAATTTAGTCGGCCCCAATCCGAAACCTCCGCTAAGGAAGTTTCAATTTCAGAAACAAGTTTGTTTCGACTCTCGACTCGATGACGTTTTCTCGAGAAATATAGGGACGGCCGGTGTAAAGGGCATCTCCCGTGCTATCAACTGCATAGCAATAGATGCTACTAGTTTGCATCATGTCATTGATATCTTGAAGAAACAGTGTGGGTGATAGCACACAGCCTTGTGGGACACCAGCATTTACGAATTTCAAGTCGGAGCATGCACCGTCGACAACGACCTTAATGCTTCTGTAAGCAAGGAAGCTGGTGATCCAATTACACAATTTCTGGGGAAGCGCAAAGGAAGAGAGCTTCGAGAGAAGCGCCTTATGCCAGATCCGATCGAAGGCCTTCGCTATGTCCAAACTAAGCGCATAAGCCTCTCCTTTGGTCTCGATCGCATGTGCCCACCGGTGTGATAGAAAGACGAGAAGATCACCAGCTGAGCGACCCCAGCGAAAACCAGTTTGTCAGTCATTGAGTAGCTGGTGATCATCTAGGTACCGGAGGAGCTGGTAGTTGATTATGGATTCCATGATCTTAGAGAACAAAGGAGTTATGGCCATAGGCCTGTAGTTGGAAGGGTCAGAGCGGTACCTTTTTTAGGGATTGAGTACACAAACGCTACTTTCCAGGAGTTCAAGACGACGTCTTGGGAGTAGGAAAGTCGAAAACCGCGCGTTAAAACCGTTGCCAACTCCGGAGCACACGTCTTCAAGGAGAGATTCCATTGGGACCACACGACTTATGAATGTCGAGGGAAAAGAGTGCTTCACGCACTGATTTTTGTGTGAACCGGATATCCGGCATATAGCTCTGGCACCGCGGTGTGGTCGGCAGTACGTTTCCCCCGTCATCCAAAGTCGAGTTGGACGCAAAGAGTTTTCCCAAGATTCAGAAGATCTCTTCATCAAGAAAGACTGTACTACGGACGGTAGATATAAAAGCCGTCTTATCTATACTAATATTATAAAGCTGAAGAGTTTGTTTGTTTGTTTGTTTGAACGCGCTAATCTCAGGAACTACTGGTCCGATTTCAAAAATTCTTTCAGTGTTAGATAGCCCATTTATCGAGGAAGGCTATAGGCTATATATCATCACGCTAAGACCAATAGGAGCGGAGCACCAATAAAGAATGTTTTAAAAACGGAGAAAATTTATTGCTATTGAGAGACGCAGACGAAGTTGCGCCGGTCAGCTAGTCTTATATACCTACGAACACTCGCAGAGAAACATTAGACGCTAGCGAATACGTCTGCGCGTTTGAAATATTAACAGTAAAACAAATCCATTTCGCTCCTTCCACAGAATGACATCCTTGTAGATGGTAATGACAGTCATAAACAATCCTGTAATGAAATCCGACTCTGCAGGAAAATAAGGTATTATTCTAAACGAAACTGATGAACAAACCATATCCCCGTTGCAGTTCTTAGCTACTATAGCAAAGCAACCGTTTGCAGCAGTCGAGAAGCAATATTCTTATTATCGCACACAACACTATAGTGACTCAAGTGTATGGTTACGAGCGGGGTATACAATAAATAAACGTTGTCACTCAATCCTATGGCGCAACAGTATTAGTATATTAATCAATGTATCATCATCTATTTAACTCTTCAAGAACGGTGTATCTTTCAGTGTCCAGAACGCACAACCTTATAGTCCCACCTCCATGAATGAACGTTTCACACCGTTACGCCTCTATTTACCTTCTTAGGAAATCTATACTAATATTATAAAGCTGAAGAGTTTGTTTGTTTGTTTGAAAGCGCTAATCTCAGGAACTACCTGTCCGATTTAAAAAATTCTTTCAGTGTTAGATAGCTCATTTATCGAGGAAGGCTATAGGCTATATATCATCACGCTAATACCAATAGGAGCGGAGCACCAATGAAGAATGTTTCAAAAACGGAGAAAATTTATTACTATTGAGAGACGCAGACGAAGTTGCGCAGGTCAGTTAGTAAGCAATATAGTATGTTTATGTTTTCGTAAAATTAACCTTATTGACTTATTTAGCTGTACACTGGTGCTTATTCTGTTGTTCGAAAACTCCCTAAACTAAACTAAAAAATACTTTAAATTAGTTTAGTCCAGTCAACTAATATGCTTTCAGAATACGTAACGTTTTTTAACAGGACAACAAATTTTTAGTGATTTTTAGTTTGGTTTAGAGAGTTTTTGAACAACAGAATTAGTACCGCTGAGTGAGTTCACAAAGACAGAATTATATATTATATTAGCTGACCCGGCAAACGTTGTTTTGCTATAAATTTTGGGGTGGGTCACCCTTGTCATTTAGGGGTATGAAAAATAGATGTTGGCCGATTCTCAGATCTACCCGATGTGCACACAAAATTTCATAAAAATCGGTCTAGCCATTTTGGAGGAGTATGGTAACTAACATCGTGACACGAGAATTTTATATATAAGATGTTACAAGACACAAACTTAGAAGTTGTTGTTGTTGTTGTTAAAAAAGACAACTCCCGCATTAGGAATAAATCCTGTGTCGCGGGGGACTTTACAAACATACATGAAACGGACACAGAGAACACCCAGACTCAGAACAACAATTTGTGGATCACACAAAGTGTCGTCCCATGTGGGGTTTGAACCCACAACACTCGGCGTAGTAGGAAGCGGCGTGGCGACCGCTTAAACCACTACGCCATCCGTGCAGTGTAAAACAAGTATTGTTGTAATAGTTACAATATCGCATTAGGATATACCTGTAACGCTAGTAGTAAGTGTGGATACTGATAAGTAAATAAATAAATAAAGCAGTGTGTGTAGTGACCCATGTGCGCGGTGTAGTCGACCTTCCTGCGCATGATGGCGGAGCAGAACTGGCAGATGTAGACGCGCGCGTCGTGGGACCGCTTCACGTGGCGCATCATCCACTCCGCGTCGCCCGACACCGACCGCTTCTCCTCCTCCGCCTCGCCCTCTGGAAACCGACCTCAACATATATACTTTACAATACACTCATTAACATTTTTGAAGTGAAAACTTCTTTGGGTGCGTTGGGCATTTTTGAACAAACAAAAGAATGTATTTTTTGAGATGGGAAGAAATCATTGAACTCGTGACACTGTTACCGTTACCGACACCTCTGTATATAAACATCTACATATATTGGCCCCGTGTTAGTTGAAATACATTGATGATATAACTATATATAATATAAACATATATTGTGTATATAAGTACAACACAGATATATTTGAATAGAAAAAAACAAAACAAAAACCTGTTTCAATAAAAAAAAAAAAATTCAAGTTTTTACTTCTGTCAGTATTCCCGGAGTGCCAGGTTTTTTTTTTTTAAATAAGAACATTGAATAAAATTATGTCGTTTTTTTAAATTATGTAGGTATATTTAAAAAAAACGACATACATTTTTTCACACGTATTTTTATAAAATAACTATTAAGTGATTTTCTGACAACATCCCGAACATTTGCCGCGATGGCCAAACGTCCGCCAATGTATACCATTCCCCGTGTTCACATCCAATCCAAGTTAGTCCAATGTGTACTGCCCTTGGTTGATTTGTAAATACAAAGAAATGATATTAATATCTCTTAAAAATCGGATATTGAAGTAACTGATTTCTTGACCCCTCCCTATTCTTCAATCTGTCACATGGTACCTTTTAAATTAGATGGATCATATATAAATGTATGTTAGGAAAACTGTGGCAAATGATGTGTGCAGTAAACAATAGCACTGGCTACCGTTGTTGGCTTCGCAGAGTAGGCACTGGAAGCCGTCCCCTTGGCGCCGCACCAGCTGGTGGGGGGGAGGCTGGTGGGGGGAAGGCTCGTGGCGCGGCTCCACGCTGTGCACGCGGAACATCTCCCCAGATTCCACCTTGATCAGCGCCCCGCCTGACACACGGAATATATATAGTTACTGCTCAACAAATATTCGTGTCATTCTTACGTTATATTAACATAGTATACACGCAAATTATATAAAATCTTTCCTTTCGTTCTTCTGCGATTTGATAAAGTGACTCAAACAGAATTATAAATTATTATTATTATTTATTTCAATTACTTAATTTTATTTATTTTTCTTTATATATAGGATGTTATTAGTATCAGCCTTTTAAAATGAAATACAATACATTTACAACTCGAAAGACATAACTTTATGTCCTAACTTATTGTTGACTAGATGATACTGATACCCTCGACTACGTTCGCGTGGAATTTCATATGAAAATGTTTATCTATGTATTTAGAAATGTATAAAAATCGGTCTTTGTCCCTAATTTCATAGATTTTTTTTGCTAGAACCCCTAAATATTTTCGGCAAAAAAATTGAGCTAAGTTTCTCCTTATATAATCATCTACCTGGCAACACAATCTTATCAGAATCGGTCAAGCCGTTTCGAAGACTAGCCGCGAAAACCGACAGACAATAAAAATTAAAACTGATTTTTAGGCATAGATATCATGTAAATAATTAATTAACTGTATGAGCTTAAAAAAATCTACTAATTTGCTATTTGGACATTAAAGAAATACATTTGAACTTTATTTATTTAAATTAATATTCAAATCACCTTATTAATTGATTCGCTAGTACACGTGAATTGGTTCGCTTGGAATTTGAAAAGCGCTGCCTTAGTAAAGTAGTACGGTACGCAATTGCAGTTCATTAATACGAAAAATAGCATAAGTTACCCCTTATATAGACAGCTACCTGTTATTAAAATATTATCAAAATGGGTCCAGCCGTTTTGAAGATTACCCGAACAAACAGACCGACAGATAGACAAAAAATATATAAAATAGTTTTGGGCATAGGTATCGTGCAAATAACCGTGTGAGCATGAAAAAAACCTATTAATTTCATTACAAACAGACACTTTAATTTTATTTATTTGTATAGATGAATGCATACCTTGTTCCTGAGCAGCAGCTATGATAGCATTGGCAGTCTCTTCATCTCCAGCCATTTGAAGTTCGATGGCTGTCTCATCATTCGAATCTGTAAGAACGCGTTTATATAAAGTATAAAGAAAGATTGCATCGTGACCGTCCGAGAATGGCGGTAGGCACTTACCATCAGGCGACCATTGTGCTCGTTTATCCCTCCAAATGCCTCTTACACCCATTCTCCCCCATAATGCTTATAACCCCCATATCACCCTAATACCCCCCATAATGCCCGTTATATATATATATATATATTATATTTTTAAACAGAAACAGAATTATATACAAGTGACTCACCATCTCCCTGCTCTTCGTTGAGCTCATTGGCTTCATCTTGTTGCTGGTCATCCTCAGTCATCACCAGCGATATCTCTCCACCCTCGTACATGAACTTCTGACCGGAGACCATGCGGAGTATTGATCCATTCTCACTGTCCACAACTATCGTATCTACAATAGAAATAGGACTCATTTACTTTTATGAGAATAAAAGCTTTAAGTGAGTGGTATTCATATTCATTAATAATAAAAAACCGGTTAAGTACGAGTCGAAATCGTGCGTCGAGGGTTCCGTACCTACCCAGATTTTACGTAGATTTTCGAAAAAAAATTGTAAGTACCAAAATTTATCTTAATTTAGAACTTTTTTTATTTTTTGGAATTATTTCTTTATTTGTGCTGTAAGACGTTTCTTTTTGCCAAATTTCGTGATTCTAGGTCAACGGGAAGTACCATATAGGTTTTCGACTGAAAACCTATAGGGTACTTTCGGTTGACCTAGGATTGTCAATTTTGATTAAAAGCAAGGTCTTACAGCACAAGTAAAGAGAAAAATCTGAAAAATAGGAAAAGTTGAAAATTAAGGTGAATTTTGGTACTTACAAGTTTTCGCGAAAATCGAAATTTGCCCATATCTTTTTATCGGTTTGACTCAGGACCTTGATTTTTATACACCTAATAGACCTCAGTAAAATCGGTGGTGACACACGGACAGACGGACAAGAAAGTGATCTTTTAAGGGTTCCTTTTTTACCTTTTGAGGTACGGAACTCTAATAATAACGACACCTCGACTAACACCTTAAGAGGCTCACGTTAGACGGGTGGATCAAGGGTCTGATGCAGAAGTTGTCCTTGACACAGCCACTAAAGTGAGGAGGTTCCTGTCTTTGGAGTCCTAACCACTGTGTCTTAGTCTGTGTACCTGATGTCTGTGGTTTTTCTTTTGTATATATTGAAAAATATATACAATATGTATATAAAAATGTAATAAAGAGAATCATAGCAATAAATTAATTTGAAGTTGAGATTTACATAATTTGTTTAACAATGACGTAACAGCCACACTAGGCTAAGCTTGTAATGAGGCTACCAATATAAACCGTGTGTAAAACCATCTTAAAATCTTTAATAAGAAATATGCAAGTAGAAAATATGTAATTTGTAGTAATAAACTGATACCTGTATACTTCAGAATAAATTCTGAAATTCAGTCATTTATTTTACAAAAAAAATGTCTGCGCTCTATTTATAACATGCATAGCACAGAATCTTTACAATCTGTTTTTTCTGAAAGGAGTTTCCTCACACTTACTGGCATTGTCCATTTTTGTAAAATGTAACATGTCTTCTTTTAATTTTAAATGTAACTCGAAACGTAATATACGCAATAAATATTAATGAAATATAAACCTACCTAATGTTACTAATATGATATACTATAAAAGCACATACATAACAGCAATGAGAGTATTTAATAAGCTCCCGCTAGAAATTAAGATATTAGATGGAAAAATGTTCAAGAATGCTCTAAAGAAATGGTTAATAAAGAATGTATTCTATAATCTGCAAGAGTATTTTCTCTCTGCCTTTTAAACTTATTGTAATCTTCCATTTTTATTGATAGTGTACTTTAAAATTGCAATGCCCGATTGGGTAACTGTTGAAACTTTACCTACCACAAAACATCTATATATGTAACACAGTTTTCTTTGCAATAAATGTCTTTGTCTTTGTCCAATGACAAAAATGTCTTAATGGTAAAAAACCTCCAATTGTCTTATAATGTGTTTTTAATTATATCAGAGTAAAAGGTGCTATTTATTTCAATAATTCCACTTACTGGCGTTTAATGTCATCATCATCATCATTATCAGTCCACTGCTGGACATAGGCCTCTCCTAAGAAAGGAGATTATGGCCTATTATACCACGCTGGCCAGACGGGTTGGTATAGGGTTTCTTTCAAGTTTTCTTTGCAGTGCTGTTGTTCTGCACATTACATGTCCTAATAATAATATTTATACTGTGTTACAACAAGTAGCTACACAAGCAGTACTATCCAACCATGGTCTGAAAGGTGTCTTCCATTCGACAGGTGGCGCCAGTGTGCCATTATAATACTTACGTGCCTCTTCATCCTCATCAATCTCGTCTTCACCCCCATTCAGAATCTCCAGCTTGCCGAGTATATACTTGTGTTCTTCATTAGTACTGTCTAAAGACTGTAGTTCTTCGACATTAAGGAATTCTTCAACTTCAGAAGATACTTTGGAACTGGACTGAAAATAGCACATTTTTTTTATTGATCAACATGCCTGTTGGTCAAGTTGTTAGTGATCTGGACTGTTAAGTCAGAGGTTGAGAGTTTGATTCCCAACCAGGACAAATAATGTGTGATGAGCATATTATATAAAAATATAATATTTCGAACATCTCACACACAACGCCATCTAGCCTCAAACTAAGCAGAGCTTGTATTGTAAGCTAGATTGACTGATAGAATACTTATATACTTTTTTTGTAAATACATACATATTATACATAGAAAACAGCCAAACTCTGAAACAAATATTTTTGCAGATCATACAAACACTTGGTCCGACCCGGGAATCGAATCCGAGACCTCAGCACAGCAGTACGCTCCTACTGCACCACCGAGGCAGCATGATTATTTGTTCTTTATGTAGGTGTAATTTATCTAAGATATGTATGTATTTAAAATATATATGTATGTTTATCAGCAGTCTGGTCGCACAGGCTCCGCCTAGTTAGGGATCAGGCGGCCGTGTGTGAGATGTGTGAAGTTATTATTATCACGATGCAGATAAGCTGATTTAGTAAGTAAATATAGTAAATACCTTAACTCCTTCGACTTCTAACACCAGGTTATTATTATCAGCATTCGACACAGGAACCAGGGAGATTGAATAATCTGTAAAGTTTTTAGAACAATTACTATAATATGCAATGGGAGTGGACTATGTAAAGCAGTGGACTGCGATAGGCTGATGATGATTACTTTTTACAATGGAGCATCTTGGAACCTGATTGGTGGAGAGTCCTTGATCCAAGCGTCACTATTTTCTTAACGCGAATATATAATGTTTACTTATTAACTAGTTGTTCATTACAGTCTGGCACAGTTAATGTTGAATGAATTTTTTTTTCGTTTTAGAAATTAATTCGTTAAGTGTGTCCAGGGTGTTCTCTGATGTTATTTTTTTTAAAGGCAACTTTATTACTACAATACTTTAAAACAGCAACTTTAAAACTACCAATATATCCTATGCCGAGGGGGTTTGTGTTCTTTGTGTCCATTTCATAAATTGTAAAGTGAAATCATTTATGAAACAGGCACAAAGAACACCCAGACTCAGAACAACAATTAGTGGATCACACAAAGTTTTGTGCCATGTTGGGGTCGAACCCACATCACTCAGCGCAGTAAGAATTGGAGAGGTAACCGTTTAAACCACTACGCCATTCGTGCTTTTGACGTGGGAACCAATCCTAGTACATTCGTAGTTGTATAACTTACCCCCATCAATCTCCATCGACTGACCATCAGTTCCTTTGTCATCTCCATTACTTTTAACATCTTCACTATTATCTTCATCATCATTCCTAGTTAACATTGCCTCGGACAAGAAGTTGTTTGGCAAAGAATTCACGTTGAAATTTAATATTGAAGTTTTTGGTGATGTATGACTCTGTGAGGTGACCATGTGTTCAATGTCATTCGTTAGAGTTGTTAGTAAGTTTGCGGTCTGTTTTACTGCTGCGTTTGTGGTTGTTGTAGTTTTGATAGTCTGAGTTAGAACTGACGTTCCAACTGTTACTTTAAGATTAAGAGTAGAAGCATTGCCATTCTGAAAATGAGAGTTTACACATGAATATAGAAATCGGATGGGACATGGGATTCTTTTTTAAATTTGAGATAGAGTGGACAAAACGTTAGCGAGGTATTGTACAAATATTTACAGACATTGTGCGCTGTTTAAGACACTTTTTGCCTTGCACAACCGATCTGTGGAACAAGTTATCGCCTGCGGTATTTCCGGACCGATACGACCTTCAAAGCTTCAAGAAAAGAGCGTACTCCTTGCTACAAGGCCGGCAACGCGCTTGTGACTCCTGAGTTGCAGGCGCTCATTGGTGGCGGTAGTCACTTTCCATCAGGTGCTTATCCTCTGCTAATTCTTAGCAGAGGATAAGCTATGCATCAACCGGATCGATCAGAGGGTTACCACACCCTCACAGAAAACCGGTGTCCAGTGTTAAACAATTCTTTCTATGCTTTTCACCAAGTGAGTGAGGTTAATGGAACCCCCTCACCCGATATAAAACTTAAACTTTAAGAGGGTTGTATCGATTAACGAATGACCTGAAGTGGTAGAAAGTTTTCTTGACCCTATCTAGTCTCGGTGGGGGAACTCCACTCTTGAGTTGCAGTAGGTACTTACTATCTGGTATATCTATGTATACTATGTATGTATTTACAAAAAAAAAAGTGTACAAGTATTCTATCAATCAACCCAGTTTTCATAGTACAAGCTCTTAGTTTGAAACTAGATGGCGTTGTGTATCAGATGTCCCAAATATAATCTGGTACCTGTCTGCTCCTTTCCCCTGCTTATACTATAAAAAAAAACCAACATCACACATCCCAGTTACATACTTGACAAATTAGCTACTTAAATAGACATATCTAAGTGTTACACATTCAAACCTCAATAACGCACTCAATTTTAAAACGTTGTAGAGAATGGTCATAGAGGTCTGCAATAGTAATAGAAAGGCTCATACTCAAACTATTACTGAAAATGTGAAGAAAATGCTACAAAAAAAAAGCCGTGTGGTGTCGTGGGACACCCGATAGGAAGTTGTGACGATCGAGTAAAACTGATTCGACACGATTTTAATTACGACGCCATCTATGAAAGCGGCTATTACCTACATATTTTTCAGTTGGTTTCTAATTAAAACAATTTATACATTGGTAAAATCTCCTTTAGAAATGATGTCGAATACAATATTTTTTGCTCAACCTAAGAACATAAATTTTAATTTTACTGAGATGAAAAGTAATGATTTCCTATCTATTCGGTAGATGGCGCTGAATGACTGACAAGTGACAATTCAAAATAAAAAGTGTCGTTACAACTTTTCGTGAGAATTTTTTCCGTCTAGCCCCCTTTCACAACGCGCGATAAGGAACTTCGTTCCAATAAAAATGTACTCCTGTGATATTTATAACAAGTGTACCGCAGGAAATTTCTACTTATGTGTAGTGGCAGTGCTCCTTAACCTTAAACAATGTATATATTGTTTAATTGAGGCTAAGCTGGAGATCGTCAGATCGATTCCCACCATTGACAAATAATTATGTGATGATCATTTGTTCTGGTGTGGTGTTTGTTGTTGTGGTGTAATTTATCTATAATTTGTGTTTTTGGCAAAATTTAAGTATGTTTAACAGCAGTCTGGGTACCACAGTACAGACACTGCTTAGTTTGGGATCAGACGGTCGTGTATGATATTTGTGTGATAATATGATCATGAGAATAATAATGACTGCACAGATGACGAGACAGAGACGGCGTAGCGACCGCTTAAACGCCTACGCTACGCCGCTTACTATTACGCTGAGTGTTGTGTGTTAATTTTTATTCTGAGCCTGGGTGTTCTTTGTTTCCGTTTCATGTGTTTGTAAAGTCCACCGCGACACAAGATATATTCCTAACTCCCGCATTAGTTTTGCATTTTCTTTAAAAAAGATGAAAAAAAGAAAATAATGCTGACAACATTAATTTCTTGCTTATTCCCTTAAGCAGAGTAATTCAACCCTATATCTAAATGTGACTAAGCTTCCTTTGAACAACTTCTATTTACACAAATTTTTTCCTTAATAGTATCTAAAACATAAATAAGAATTTGAATAAAACTCACCTGAATTTGTGGTAAAACAATATTGCCCTTGGAGAAAGCCGGTAATTTCCCCACTTTCAACAACAAATCTGGCGGTATAGGCTGCAATTTCGAAGCAGGCAACACCAGTTTCTTACTTAGGATAACTGGTTGCTTCTGTATTGAAGCAGCAGCGATATTGTTCTTTGTGATGACCAAATTTTTGTAGTTTTCATAGTCTAGATTATGACTATGTATTGAATTTTTGAATTGGTCTAGAATTTCACCTTTTAAGTTTGTTAACCTGTAATTTAAAAATCATAAACAAAATAAATAAACTCTAGGTTTTCTCTCTTCAGGGTCAGCAGAAACAACATTCAACCACTTGTTTATGTCTTTACAAGTATTTCGAGCTGCTTCAGATATTTATGACCTACCCATTTCTTATTTTAAGAAAAGTTTTACTAATGAAATTGTTGTTCAGACTATGTGTATTATCTATACTTTTAAAATTATTTTAAACTAGCTGACCCGCGCAACTTCGTCTGCGTCTCTCAATAGTAATAAATTTTCTCCGTTTTTGAAACATTCTTCATTGGTGCTCCGCTCCTATTGGTCTTAGCGTGATGATATATAGCCTATAGCCTTCCTCGATAAATGGGCTATCTAACACTGAAAGAATTTTTCAAATCGGACCAGTAGTTTCTAAGATTAGCGCGTTCAAACAAACAAACAAACAAACTCTTCAGCTTTATAATATTAAGTATAAATATATTTGTCCCTAATGTATGACGATTTAAAATATTAAAGTCGAATTTGAAATTTAACATAGATAAGGTAATATGTCGCTCCAACACAAAAGGGAAGATCCTCCAGACCAGACCACGTGATCATTCCAGGCGGGGCGCGGCCTAGCAGTCGATGTTGGGAGGTTGTACATTATAATCGGCGCGAGAACTTTCATGCCACAGGATTAGCAGTTACTGCATAGTTTGGTATGGCTTCAGTAAAGACAAAGTTTCTGTTCCGTTGTAGATGGAACTCGCTTATACATTCTGATCACAAAACCACCCAGGTCAATTATTAGCAATAAACAGCATTTCAAACATCTGTGTTTCGGTGAGCCCACTGTCAGCTAAATATCCAACTGAGCACACTAAGTACTAAAGCAAAACTTACCTAGTATGAATCATATCATATTCCATGCAAGACTTGTGGCACTTCTTGCATATTATGTTAGAGTGTACTTTGTTTTCCTCTAGGGTTATGCCGACTATGTCGCTTACAACTTCTGAAAGCTTCTTACCGGACTGCAGTGAGGTCTGAAAAGTTTACAAATAAAAAAACTAAAACACTTACAAAAAACAATGACAAAATGGTTTAATGTTAAGCTAAGAGTCTGTAGTGGGAACTAGAATAAGCCATGCCATTGTTAATGCGAGTTGTTATATATTTATAATACTTTAAGATATATACAGTTATTATTACCTAACGGGAGTTAGTCTGCATGTGATCATGGCTAGTGCAATCTGGTGGAAACATCAGAGGTGTGGTACCTGTCAATTACTTATTTATACAAATAAGTAAATTTGAAGTGTCTGTTTGTAATGTCAAAATAATAGGTTTTTTTAATGCTCACATGTTTATTTGCAGGAGGTATCCTAAAAACCAGTTGTTTTTTTTTGTCTGTCTGTTTCTTTCGGGTAACCTTCTAAAAGTCTTGACCGATTTTGATAATATTGCACTACCAGGTAGCTGTCTATTTAAGGAGTAAGTAAGGCTATTTTTCCTCTCAGGAAAAGCCTTTAAAATTTTGCCTGGTCTGGGAATGAAACCCACCAAGGTAGCGCTTTTCAAATTCCACGTGAAAGAAGTCATGGGTACCAGGTAGTTATCTATATATATATATAAATGTTAAGTTGGTTTGTTCACGCTTAAAAAACTCAAAAAGTTTTGCACTGATTGAGCAAAAATTTTCATACATTATACAACACGCTTCAAGAATGGTTTTTATCTATTTTTTGCAACCACAATTTGCCACAGTGAAGCGTGGCAGGGTACAGCTAGTATCATTATATATCATGGAACGAAAAAGTTAACAGAATGTACTGCACTATCTAAACCTAAACTAAACGTAGCTTGCAATGCACATTGTTAAACACAAAAGAAATACTTAATATACCTTTAATCGGTCAATTGTGAAAGCATTGAACAAATAGTGTCTAACTACTGGCCACTAAGTTCATTTCCACAGTGTTGTTGCTGTCACTATAAACACACAGCAACAGTATTTTTTTTATTTCAAAGTTTTGTTTTTTTTTTTCTAGTGCGACACTCTATCTAGACCTAGACATATAAATGATCAAACAATTATATCATATTTATAGTTTAATACTCACTGGAGTAGGCACTTCATCCTTAGAGAATGAGATTGCGTTTTCATCAAAAATATTGTAAATATTCCTTAATGACGAGACAACTCTGGTGTTACATATTAGGCAACAAGATAAGGCCATGCTGAAAAAAAAAAATGCATGTTAGAGCTTTGAGCTGTCCAAAAAGTTTATTTTAAGATGCCATTAAAAATAAATGGATGGTACGGTGAGCCTGCAAATCTTTCATATGGGTTTCAAACCTAGTATAGACTTAAGTTCTCACTAAAGAACTATAAAGCTATTATTATATTTAAGCTATGAGAGAAATAAAGTTATTTTTCATCATCATCATCCTCAACAGCCAGAAAGGAGGTTTTGGTTTGGAGGTTGGGTTTGGTCACCGCAACAAAAAAAATTAGTTTGGCCAGCCGCGAGGGGGCGGCGTCCGCGTGTGCCGGACGTCGCCTAAAGAGAGGAAAAATATTGAGACGGAGCCCGCACCAGGAGCGGGCTGGCGCTAGGAGGGGTCCGGATGTCTTAACAACAGCTGTTCCCGGATCCCTCCTGTTACAGGCGCAGAGTGGCACACCGTGTGGTTTTAGTCGGTCCGAGTCCGACACACCACCCCGCCGCAAACCCCGGAGGGGTGACGGTCCGAGGGGATTTCCACACGTTAAAAAAAAAAAAAAAAAAAAAAAAAAAAAAATGGTCACCGCAACAATAGGTTGCTTCGCCAAACATAAAATTATGAAAAGAAAAAACTAGAAATATAACTGGCCGTTTCCACACGGTTGAGCCTTGGGAGAAAAACTCAAGTTAAAGAACAACAGTAATTATTTAAATTAGCTATAATCTTTAATTATTTTTTAGTATAATTATGATACAGTATCATTTATATGGGCAGCTTAAAATTTTATTTTAAGAATTTACGAGGGATGTTCTCTTACATGATTTATGAATGATAGGCTTATGATGTCAATGTACATTTCATTTCTAAATTTTTTTTATTTAGAGGTTGTGGGATCTATTCCCACCCAAGACAAAAAGTTGTGTGATGAGCACGATCATTAGTTCTTTGTCTGGGTGCACTTTAACCATAATATGTATTTAGAAATATACATGTATGTTTATCAGCAGTGTGGTTACCATAGTACAGGTTCTGCCTAGTTTGGGATCAGACGGCCGTGTGTGAGATGTTTAAAAATTATTATTTTTTAATAGAGATACGTATAATATCATTAATTGTACTTATGATATAGTTATAAAGAAAATAAAGGTTAAGTAGAGACTCACTACTTACGGCTCAACTTTCCTTTTCCGTACATCGAGTTTGGGGCTGAAAATTTTTTTCAGGATATATTACACTATTATAAGCACACACGTAAAAGTTTCAACACGCGGAGACGCGTAGTTTTTGAACAAAAAAATATTGAAAATCAATTATTTTTGCAAATCTTCTGTCAATATTACACTATTAATGACAAGCTTTACCATAGATTATATAAAATTCTCATCACGGAACGTTTCGTTTCATCTATGGTTAAGTTGTCATACGTTCCGTAACATTTTATTTTACATAAATTTACGTAAATAATTAAATTTTGTACTCATTTCAATAGTTTTCATGCACACATATATTTAACAGTTTATATATGATAAATTATACCATGACAGTACCTGTTAGGGCAGATAACAAATAATTTAGGTTAGGTTCAACTTATGTCACAGAACCGAATTGATTGACCCCGACTCCACGTGGTACGACTCTGTCCTGCCCCTAGAGTGTTTTTATAGAACCGGAGGCGCGTAGGGAGAGCAGCCTCCGCCCGCTGTAACAAATCGCAGGCATCGGACGAGCCGGAGCGGCTGAGGCTGGTCGCCGAAGGCGACCAGCAAGCCGAAGCTGCGGAGGCGAGGACGGATGCCTACGATTTGTTACGCAAGGGCGTAGAGGCTGCATTTCCCGCAGCGCCGGAGAGGTTTCAGAAAGGATTTTTAAGTTTCGTTCCATTAGTCTGCTACAGACGGTAAACACTACACATTTTATTTTTAATTTTAATAGCTTGTAATGAAAGTAATGCAGTAATTTCATATAAACAAACTTTTAAATATGTGTGCATGAAAACTATTTAAATGAGTACAAAATATAATTATTTACGTAAATTTATTTAAAATAAAATATTCCTGAACGTATGACTCGTTGCAGGACGGAGTTTTACGCTTCGTTCCACAAGTCGCCTAAAGACGGTAAACACTACACATTTTAATAGCTTGTAATGAAAATAATGCTGTAATTTAATATATATAAACTCTTAAATATATGTGTGCATGAAAACTATTTAAATGAGTACAAAATATAATTATTTACGTAAATTTATGTAAAATAAAATGTTACGGAACGTATGACAACTTAACCATAGATGAAACGAAACGTTTCGTGATGAGAATTTTATATAATCTTTGGTAAAGCTTGTCATTAATAGTGTAATATTGACAGAAGAATTGCAAAAATAATTGATTTTCAATATTTTTTTGTTCAAAAATTATGTGTCTCCGCGTGTTGAAACTTTTACGTGTGTGCTTATAATAGTGTAATATATCCTGAAAAAAAATTTCAGCCCCAAAATCGATGTACGGAAAAGGAAATTTTAGCCCTACTTACACTACCACTTCTATAATTACATTTATTCTGCCTTTGAGGAAGTATCACAATAAATCGCAAAAGAAAATTTTATGTATTAAATAAATATTTAAAAAGAACACAAACTATGTTTAGATATCATCTCCTGACCTTAAAATGAATAAACAAATGTCTTGTAATAATTTGCAGTTACAGAAACATTTATTGTAGCCTTAAAAATAAAATCATTGGAACCTTAATAATTCATGTTTTGAATGTTTAAAAAAGCAATTTTATATTTTGTTTTTAAAAGATTCTATTAGATTAAATAGGTCTTATGTAATTTGACCGTCTTGCGGCACTTTCATGTTAGGTATTTTTCGTCAATTTACATGTTTATCAGTAATTATTTACATCTTCTACAGTTTCAAAGTAACTTCCATTACGAGCATAAAATATTCAAGTTTTTCTAACATAAAAATTGGTGTCCAGAGATATTTTACATGTTTCAGGCAGCCATTTTGACATACCTGGTAATTTTATCAACAGATCTATGTTAAAAAATCATCGAATAAATGTTTATTTACACATACCTGGCCGATTAAAAAATATCTCCGGGTAAATATTACTTTCTGAAGGTTTTCACTCGGTTTGGGTGGCACAAATATGTTGTCAGCAATGGACCGGGCGCAGGCAGCCACCATTACGTTTTTAATGTCATTCCGTTTTTCACCGCAATAGGCGCTGACGAACTGTTTCCGTTTAGTAAGTATCGTTACAATGTAATCGATTTAGTAGATTTTAAAACTAATGACGTATAAGTTCTAAATATGTGTCAGTAATAATCAGGAATAGTCAGGATATTTTAGAAAGGATCACTGGTACACTAATGAAGGAACTGGATTTTGGAAATTACATAAATTTATTTAAAGGTGCAAGAAAGTGAAAAATAAGGGAGGAAAATCTAGTAGTAGTACAAAAGTAAAAATGAAAATTAATTAAATTGGAAATTGACTTTACAATAACAAAATGTGATGAGATCTACTGCGGTATATTAAGTAAATGTTCGGTTTTACCAATTTTTGTAACAATATTGAAAAGAAGTGTTATCTATTTAAAAGAAAAGTTTGCAAGTATTATTTCATGTTTTTATTTCTGACACTGCTGCTTAAATGTAACTTTTCAAAGGACATTAATAGCTTAGTCCTGAAATCGGACTTTGCCGAATCGGCATTTTAATATTGAAAAAACCATTTTACTATTTCGTAGCTGAAGCTATGTAGAAATCGATAATGAAAATAGGTTAGTAAGAAAACAGTTATAAAAAAGTTAAAAAAATGTAAAACGTCTTGTTTTTTTTTGTAGGTATTTATTTAATTTTCAGTTGAAAATTAGCACTTTGGGAAAGCAAATCAGTGAAGAGGTGCGAAAGAGACGTACCTAACCGCCGTCGCTCCTTCTCTCCGGCAATCCTTCTCTCCGCTATCTGTATAATCTCTATACTTAAAAGTCTAGTACCTAAGTACCTCGAAACTTTTCGACTAGCAACATCATCAGCAGAGTAATGCGCCAGATGAACTGGTTGACCTAAGCGAGACAAACAGGTTTCTATTTCGTAGATGACTTGTTTTTACTAAAATTTCTTTTCATTTCAACCCTAGTTTAATAGACATCAAGGACGTAGACGGCGTAGGCATCGTTGCAGACGGGATTTCGTAAAACGGCTGCATAAGGTAACATAGGTGATTAGTTCGTCGATAACCCGTTTAGTTAACTAATTGATGGACTAGTCGATGAACGCAAAATAAACGGTCTAAAGTCGTTAACGTTCTATACTTCATCAATCATCAGCCAATTGTGCGCGTACTTAAGAGATTCGAATTGAATCACTCCCCATGCTTTAAATCAGCGAATGTGACGTTTTGACTCACAAGGCGTAGTTTTAATTGGCCTCACTTTTTTGTCTTCTTCTCTTTTTTGTTCATACCATCTTAACTTATTTATTTGGTCTGAGCTCTAAACACATCCAGCCGAGTTTAACAAGCGCTATACCTATCTCTTAGGTGTTTCATCACCACATCCATTATTGTAATATTTTCAGAAACAAAAAGAAATAACTCATTATTCAAAAAAACATTATTTATTTTTTCCATACAACTTTACATTATTTTGAGTCTCAAGTGCAGCTCTCTATAAATACTCAATTTAATAACTCTAAAAATGTACAATAATAACAAAACTTCTGAGAATTAAAACTGTACTTACTATTTACATATCATATACATACTTTCTTCGCCATAATTTTAAAATATTTATACATTATTTAATTACTTATATGTTGTGCAAAATTTGAAACGCATTCGTGACTTATTAAGCTTACTGTAATCTGCATCAGTTTTAAGTTTAACTTGATAATATTTTTTTCTTATTATAATAACTCTCTTTAACACTCGATCTTACTTGAAAGATACGAAATTTACAAGCGCACTTGGGTAACATTAGACAGCGTTAAGGCGTTGTCTTTAAAAGCTTTTTTTGTTTTATTTGAAGGGTCAATTCATAAGCTTTAATTGCGAATTTGCGTATTAAAGAATTATGTGCCTAATAGAAATTGTCGGCATAATAAACTAGCAGAAGGCTCGAGTCAAGATCTGAGATTAGTAAATAAATAATATGACTATCCTTATCTGCTCCATACGTATATTAGAAGAATTTTATTGTACTATATAACTTAAACGTGTGCAACATTTTTTTTTAATATTTTCTTATTTTTATTTCACGTCTAGGAGCGGCTCTAAAAATATGAACTCTATTAAATATTAAAAAGAGAATACTTACATATAATGATATAGTCTCGTTTTATTTATCCTGTGTACATTATGTGTCGCAATTGGGAGCCATTTATTGTATCAGTATTTATGTTTTATACGTTAAAAATACTTTCGTTAACGTCTCAATTTTTTTTCATTCATATTTATTAATGCACACTATTAAAACTGATGCAGCAGTAATAGTTTTCTACGTGTCGTAGCGTAAGCTAAGTTTATTATTTGTGTATGATGTAAAACCATAATATACTTATCATAATCAGGTAAAAAGGCAAATATATAAAGGCAACAGGCTGTTATGGCTTTTCGAAGCCGTGAGCAAAAAATGGTGCCTTACATATTTCGTAATAATGCTTTGAAATTAAAATTTGGGATAATAAAATATTTTTTGGGCATTTCAATAAAAAAAAATTGGGAAAATAATAATTAAATTCCCATTTTTTAATAATATATTTTACATTAATTAGTCAATAATGAAATATCATTTTGTGCCCATGATGACTACCCGTCAATGTGTTTGTCTATGTGACTTTGAATATTTAATTCAATTATAAAAAACATGGCAGTCCCCAAGTGTTTTAGCTTTAGAGTGTATTGTCTCTTTTGTTCTCATTATATTGTACCTATGATAGAATAGTACAGAATAGCCGAACTGTTGTGAAGTATTTATAAACAGAATTGGGACTATGTTTTTATGTCAAGAATAGTGATATTTCACTTTCAAAGACGGAATTTGAGCAATGTTTTAAATTTATATATATTTAGCGCCAAAAGTTCACGATTTAATAAAGAATAAAATATAATTTAAGAATTAACGAAATAAAAAATAATAATTATAATTTACTTTGGTTATTAAGTAATGAGTCCATAAATTTCTTGTTAATAAAAAGGTAATATATGTGAAGATTAGTCAGGATGTACAGTCGCCAACACAGGTGTTAGGAAGCAATTTAAAAAAATAATTTTTATATTGATCCCAAAACTTGTGTTGCCATGTCTGTAGTGGTGTGAGAAAAATGAAAGAATTTGTTGTGTTGACATGTATTTTAATGTTTATCATGTAACTACAAGACCTAGTTCCAATAAAATGTAGAATAACAACGAAAAATACAATATTCATTAAAAGTGCCACTGTGCTGTCTCTTGTGTCTTGTAAAGCATCGTTTAGCATCATTATATGTGTATAGACAATTAAATTGACATAAAACAAAGTTTTTAACTACTTTAAATATGTTTATTTGTCAATTTTAGTGTCTAAACATGTGTAATAGCGTCATCTGAGTAGATTAGTGTCATTTGTTAGCAACAACATAATAAATCATTGCAGTAAATAAAACAATCGATATATATCTTCTGTACAATCAACACAAAGAGAAGTAAGCTAACACGACATCAAGTCCTATCACTAAAACATTTAGTTTTTTTTTCTTTTCGAAAATATTTCTAGAGAAAAAGATATGCATCTATTTACCTGATAACATTTATTAATTCAGCTATTATTACAGCTAGTTCAATGTTGGCTATAACACTGTTTATGTAATTTGACATCGTAGTAATTGTTACTATATCAGAATTAGCGAAGGAGTCACTGTAATCTAAGTATTGCTGTCCATAAACAGTAATATAGACAATCTACACAAGGTCACACCATACAAACATCTATTCTATATGAAAACAAAATATATCTGTTAAAACAGCGCAAAATGGTGTCTACATCATCTGTCTTATACTAAATCCTTGTGCAAGGCTTATTACTCAAAATTTAAATCGAATCATCGCTATATTTTTAAGAAATCTTTTTAGAAAATCTTTACGGTTCCATTTTTTCCACTAATCGAATATAATTGACATTGCAATGACACTTACTACTAACCTAAAGAGTGCTAAACTATAACTTACATTTAGATACTTTTGGTTCTTAAAACATTAAAAAAAAATGGTCGACAGATCGCCTACGAAACGAAACTCGTGCAAAATAAAAAAAAAACAAGCACAAAAGCGTGGTCTACAGAAAACAAAAAATAAAACTCCGTTTTTCTTTATTACATTATACCTGAGTTTCTTTATTTCTTGTACATTTTCACAACTGTCACGTTTTACAAAACAACCAAGTAAGTTATAGAAACATTACACGTGCACATCCTCTTGTTGTGTACGCGTGTTTAAGAGGAAACAATAAAATGAAAACTAAGTACTTTTCAACATTACTCACAAACTAATATCGTACGTTTTTTACTGAAAAATCATCACTAAAACGGGTATAGGTGCCGTCTTCAAAACTCATTAAAATTTTGTCTAAGTCGGTGTAACATTTTGAAAACGGCACCAGCAAAATAATAAGTAACTAAAGTCTAATTAATCAAATTAAATGGGAATATTACTTAATCGATACCTAAACCGCTAAGTCAATAAACAAAATGCAGATGCATTCAACGGAGCGTTGCTCCACACTAAAAAAAAAACAAAACAAAAAAATGGAAATGTAATAAATGTGTAATAATATGAAAACCTCATGTTACTGTGTCTAAAATTATATTAAGAAAACTAACTGTTAATGTCTTTATAAGAGTGATCTAGATCACAAATTGTAAAAATAAGGAATTATTTTATAATAATGCCGTTGTGAAAAATTTACCCACTTAATTTTTTGAATGGTAACATTTTTTTAGATACTCCCAACTCGTATTACTACTACGAGGGTAATGAAATATCTGCCAATTTAAATCAAGTCATTTTATTCTATTTTAAAAGTCAAATATAGTTTATAACTAATAGCCAGATTGACAGCGGGTAAATTTTTCAATAAATGTTTTGCAACGGTAACCCCCATTTCCCCCCTCACTCGTGGTGTTGTGGCTGTGTGTGTCTGTGTGCCGTCCGTTCTTGATATGTGTATGATTGTGTGCTCCACCTCAACGCCGTTAGCTAGAAGCAAATAGTTTTAGGTGAGTTATGAATGTATTGATGTATAAAAGTGTTGGCCAAACATTGGTGGGCCTTTATACATGATTGAGATTAAATACCAAATACTTGGTCATACGTAACAATAGGTATAACTGTACATATAAAATGGATTCAGTAAAACCAATTTAAGGCCAAAACGTTATTGTTTGGTGCCTAATTGTATGTACTGTTTTAGAAATGAGAAACAAAATAGATAAAAAAAAAAGAGAAAAAAAACGAAATTTGAGCAAAAACTGTTAGGTCATCAGCGAAAAAGACATGTTAATTGTGTCTACATTTTACATAATTTTCAATTATTTGTCACTGTGATATGTAGTTTTCTAACATATTTAACATATGGACGTACGCTAGACGTAACTAAAAATTGACATTTCAAATCTGACAAGCCTCGGTACAATCGCGCACAACACTTAATCTTACTATATTTCCATATTTTATACTACAATTCTAAATCAGTGTATTTTTTAAGTACAAATCTAAATTTATTAAGCTTAGAAGCGCCGTGTCGCCACACAAAAATACAAGATTCACTGTGCGCGAATGTACACTAGTTATACACTTACTTGATATCTAAATATATAGCTGTTAATAAATTGACATAGCATACAGTTACGCCGTTAATCATAAAAGATATGTCATTCCTCTCGACAAATATAAACTATTTTTCCTACTTGTCTGTGCGGGATTCAATAACAGTTAAAATATAAATACATATACAAAGTCAATGCTTGTTCATTTTACTCATGTTAAGTAAAGTCAGCAAGCATTACTTTTGTGTTTAACAATAACATAAAAATGCAAAAGAAAGATTAGTTACTTAATATTTATAGAAATGCTTAGTTTGAATTACAACAGAAATTATAAGTTAAGTTGTAAAGTTATCTATATCGTTACGAAATATTCCCTACCGCTTTGAGTCTCGCACAAACGTAATAGAATTGAAATAAAACTTATTAAAATTTCTTAAACATTTAACACTGCCATTTTAAATATATTTATTAGTACGTGAACATGACACTTAAGTACGTGATTGTACTTTTTATAACCAATAAACTGTTGGACTAATTTCTTGGGAAGTAAGTCAAACGTTTACAAGAAGTCAATTTTACAATTTTTTATGTTAAGTTTTAATGGATGTTTTTTTTTCTCCAAAAAATTATGTCCAGCAGTGGACCGATGCAAAATATGTATAACAGCATTCATATGTACATACAACATTATCTTTTCTATACATATGTTTTTTTTTTAAATTTACGATCTAACGTTCATTCACAAAGACTTTGGCTTAATATTTGGCTTAGGATAAGTAAAAGGGCAGAAAGCACGCTATATTTAGAAAAAAAAGAGATAGCAACAAGTTCATGTCATGTTTTTTTATTGTTATATAGAAAGTTTAATTTTTCATTAGAAAATCGATAAAATCATCTTTTAGGAAAGTTTGTGTAGATTTTTACTATAAGAATAGATAATATTTCCATCAAAATAATTTTGGGATCAGAGTGTAGCATCCGATGACAAAATATTACGTCAGTTATACAACCAATTAAAAATTATGTCCGTTATGTCCGGCATTAAGTCCGTTTATGTACGGACGGCATTAAATCCGCCTGCACACCGAAAGAATATGTGTAAGAAGAAATCCGTCTGTGTATTTGTTGTCAGGGAAGATTGAACTTGATCTTTCATGTATTGAATACATTAAGTCCGTCTACGCATCAGAATTATCAAGTCAGTCTAGTCAAGTCACTAGGGTTATTAAACACATCTATATACCAGGTGTATTAAGTCCGCCTATGTACCGGAGGCGTTAAGTTAAATAAATAAACACAATACCTAAAAATAGCTCTCATAATTAAAGCTTATTGTAAAATATTATTTATCCGTAATTTCTTTACAGCAAAATATAAGAAATAATACTAATTTGGTAAAAATTGATTTGTAAGAAAAATTCATTAAAATTTATCGACAGTTTAGCTATACTCTGATCCATTAATACTATAAAAGCCGATATTTATATATTTTTGATTGAAAAAATTATATACAGGTAGGTATATATATATATTTTAAGATTTTTTAAGCATTTCCAAAGACAAAGCGTGTCCAGTTAAATAGAAAGTGTAATGACAATTTACAACAATTTATTTATTTAAAACTTGTTTTAAACATATTTAATAACACATACATATAATTATGAACTTTTATTGTCATTAACTAATGCGTTAGAAAAAATACTTACTCTTTTGAAAAATAAATACGAGTATAACATGTTTTATTTCTAAATAGTATAGTGAAAATCATGTAAAAACATGAGCTAAATAAAACTTTAAGGCCCAGGATATATTTTGACCTGTCATGGTATAAAGTTCATGCAATGACAGCTCAAGATAACTTGAGCTGTCACTGGCGGAACAACTGAAGGCCTATTCTAGTAATTTATGTTTGAATTTATGTATTTCTTGGTACGAGTGTTGTAATGAGTTTAACATCGACTTATTTTATACTATAGACCTGACGGTTCAATTTCGACAGTATGAAACGTCTTCCTTTATTTCGTGACCAGAAGGCCAATTCTCGTAATAAAAGCTCGATCACAATTCAGCTCAGATCAACTTTCGATCTCAAAACTGTCATGAAAGGTATTCTCGTAATAAAGTATTAAATATCCAACGTTGACTGTAATGTGATTATATCGTATTGTAACCGAAACTTGAATCGGTAATCTGCTAGTCTTAGCAATACTTTACTATTTCACTAATACCTTTCATGACAGTTGTGAGATCGGAACTGAATTGTGACCGAACTTTTATTACAAGAATCGGCCTTCTGAACACGAAATAACATAAGACATACATAAATTCTTACAGTATTGTAAAAAAATAATTCGGTGAATAGGCTCCCTGATCAATCGGTTTTGTTAATTAGACTAAGGGCCGGTTTTTCAATCTTCAGATAAACAGTTAGATAGCATTTATTCCACAGTTAGGGTAATTAATGCTTTTTTTAATCGAGAGGTAGCTGTTTCTATCCCGTCGTTTCACGCCTCAGTTAGTGCTATTATCTGCAGAATAGTGATTTTGAACCTTGTGTGTTTATTAAAATTTTCTAATATTTGTCATTGTGTTAGATTAATTGACTTAAATAAACATCTTTCTCTTTATCTGAACACGCATAAACACGAATGTTAAGGAAATATAAAGTTAAAATCTATGGTCCCCTAATATCGAAGGTTAAGAAATATTGACATTTCGATAGAAAGTTTAATTAAAATGGGTCAGTCTGACACTTCATGCGATAGGACTCTCGACTAGGGCTAACAAAGACAACAGTCAAATAAGTTTATAAGAGCCAATATCCATCTTAATATTAGGCCGAAATTCTATTCACAATAAATACAAATATTGAGATAAATCTTTAAGAAACAATTTACAAAAAGTAACTACAAAAAAAAACAAAACAAAATGGCAGGAGTTCATGAGACAATTCTATCAACATTGACTAACATTTGCCCCTAACTACGTTTGTGCAGACAAATTATTTTAGCATAACTATAGACTAAACAACGGAACTTAACAAATACTTTTTTTTTTAATATATGGTAACACTAACTCTTTGGCTTGCCAACAACGAAAATTATGCACAAACATGGCAATGTTGCCAATTAAGATATCGATCTCCGACTTAACATTGGTCCGTCACCGCTAAAAAGAAAATGTACATGTCTTTTTTTAACCACACGATAGTTTCGATATTTTTATACATTTAATATGAATATGTCTTACTAGTATTCGTGTTCCGACATGCCGTTATTTTGGCCTTGTCTCTGGTTGTTCTGTTCCTGATTTTGGTTTTGGCTCTTGTTAGGGTTCTGTCCCTTCCCCTGGCCGATTTGTCGTGACGATGAGAAGCACAACTTCATTACAAACGGGAATTTGGCTCCTGAAAATATTTTGTAAACAATTTTAATATAAACTTGTCAATACAACAACATCAAACTCTAATTTAGCCTTTTTATTTTTGGAAATCCCAATAATTGTTTAATATGGTAAAATAAACAAAAACATTACATAGATCAAGACACATAGAGTCACAGCAAAAACAATTCAAGTTGTCAAATATTAACAATGTCAATAGTGTCTGTCTGTTTATATTTATCTTCTATGACGTTTTCAAATGACATTTGACAAAACAGAGATTGTTGCTATTGCGTGTGTTGATCTATGACTTTAGAGTCTACATAAAAGGCGAATTCATACAATTTTTATTTTTTTTATGAAATAATGATAGTTTGAGTTTGACTGATGAACCTTGTGAGAGGAAATCGGGCAATCATCAGGGGATATTAAATCGACGACCGCAATTATTTAAAAAAATGACTGTCTCTAACATTTATTACAGAATGCGAAATTTGGAGGTAAGGATTTACAGAAAAAAAAAATACTCACTACAAAAAATTATACTAATACTCCATTATTGGGTAAAAAAATAAGTTAAATGTTAAGAATTATAAAGAGTAAGAATATAAAGTTATTAAAAACATATTAAATGACGATATGTAGTGTTTTTAACATCATAGTCAAGCGACTGCCTGAAACACACTTAGTTCAGGCTGTTTGAAAAAGAATTTGTAATGTTTTGATTTACCGTTTTGTTTCTATTTACTCTTGTACCTTTTAGAATAGTCATATACTAGTTTTATGTTAGCTTTAGTAACATAACTTTTATGAGAATCTAATGACAATAAAATGAAAAGCATATACAAAATGTAAGCAAAACCTTATTCTGATTTTGCAAATATGTTTGGTGTACTAAAAGAAAAATAGATAGGAAAATATATAATATTTTAATCTGGTATATATATATATATTTAATTATTTATTTATTTATTTAACTTAATGCACTAGTTGTACAAAGGCGGACTTAATGCCCAAGGCATTCTCTGCCAGTCGACCTTCGGGTGATGTAGAAAAATGAAGCTGTAGGTGCAAGAGAAAACAGAGAATTTGACTTGTTTATATTATTAATGTTGGATAAATCTAACTTACATATATACACTACCACTATAAATACTATAAATAAAATACTATATTCATAACTACATATATTCATAGAGGTCTCAAGTATACACATACAATAGGTGAATATACACATTTATAAATACATAAATATAAAAACACATAGTCGGGTACTAGCGATGTGACCTTTCTGCCAACTTATTTTGTAGAAGTTCTTGTACTTTCTTCTCGAACGTAATACTACCATAATAATAATATTCAAGAACGACTGTATGGATTGTAATTTGTTTTTCTTGGAACGAAAATTCGAAATTTTGGCATGACATAATGTAAAAATAAAAGGACTAGAATAGCTTATATTAAATATATAAAAATATTTTTATGTAAGTCAACACAACTGAGTTCTGCGCCGTAGGCGGGGAATGAACATAAAACTTTTGCTCTTTAAAGGATGATTACACATATGGAATTAATGAAGTAAGTGTATGCAAAATGTATACCTGGATGCTGTATGGTCGCGTGGTTGCACGCCATTATCGCCATCACTGACTGCGAAATGTTCTGGAACTCCATCAGACCCGACGATGATCTGGAATGTTAAGAGACAGCAATGGATTATAATTCATCAAGACTGCCAGGCTCAAAGCAGTGGAAAGAAATATATTGGTTTGGATTTTAATTTAAATTCGGTATTTGTTCATTATTACCTAACATCAACATTCTTTAATAGTCCACTACTGGACATATGCCACTCCTTAGAAAGGAAGTTTTGGCCTACTATATCACGCTGGCCAGACGGGTTGGTATAGGGTTTGTGTCAAGTTTCCCTGCTCTTTGCAGTGCTGTTGTCCTGCGTAGTTTGCTCCCTTAGTCGGCTCGTACACCCAAGGGGGGAATAGGGGTTACTTGTTATATGATTAATTTGTTTCGTAGTTCTAACCCTCTCACCCCTTCGTCTGCCCCCTCTAACATAAAATAATAATAATATTGAAACAAATTGACATTTTGGTCCTATAATATTTTTCGATGAGGTGACATCGCACCTGCCAATTGACGGACAACTCTGTGGAAAATCAAATAGCACACGCTTTCTTGTCTTCCTGTAACACATTTCCGTCCCTTTTCACGTAATCACTCCCACATATTGCAGAAAAGCAAGAGGAAACACATGAAATATTTTTATCTATATCTACATATATGAGAAACTCACCTCTCACTCTTCAAAGGAAACTTAGAGATGGTGTGCGGGGGCGTGACCCCGTAGTCCTTGAACACCTGCAGCAGCTGGTCATCCGACACGTCCGGGGGCGTGTTGAAGAAATGGAGCACCTGCAACATAGTAATTATTATATTTATAAATATCCCAGAAGGCACAAGCCAAGTCATATATAACTAACTGTAGTCGGGGATATCGTATGGCATATTAATTTGTGGTCCCTAGAATATTGTTCACGAACACCAGGTTTCCAGAGGTACCAGACTAGAGGTTTCAAACCACAACAACCACCTGAACTACTGCCACTCAACATAAATAGTTATTACGATTAAACACATCTCACATGACTCACACTCGTCTGAGGACCTAGTGTGGTACCTGTGTGGACCTAGTTGGTGATAATTTCAGTGTGGGCCAATCGCAACGCTGATCGCGCTCGCCGTCGAGATACGAGTTGATGTAAAATAAACTCACACTAGGTTCTATAATTTCAAACTATGCAGAGTGTGTATTATAGAAACCAGACTGCTGATCAACATACTTATATATACACAACACATACAGATAATCATCATCATCATCATCATCAACAACTTGTAATAGTCCACTGCTGGACGTAGTCCTCTCCTTAGAAAGGAGGTTTTGGCCTACTATACCACGCTGGCTAGACGGGTTGGTATAGGGTTTGTGTCAAGTTTTCCTTCTTTTTGCAGTGCTGTTGTCCTGCGTTGTTTAACGCCCTTAGTCGGCTCTTACGACACACATACAGATAAATTACATCCAAACAAATGATCATCACAAAATCGGCATCGAACCCCCGACAGCAGTGAAGATTATCATCTATCCTGGGGTTATGGGTGAGGCCCTGTGTCATACTGATCGACTAGAACCATATGTGATCACAAACCTTGGAAGGCGGCTGTATTCTGTTCTTGTGTATGGAGGCGGGCGTTAAGAAGCGATTGTTCTTGTTGCCGACGTAGTCTTTGAACGAAGGGCTCTTGTCCGGCAGGGGGTACGGGTTCATCACCTCCGATAGGTAAGCTTGTTTTGAGAAACTGGAAAATACAATATTTTAACATTATTTTATTGCCGTTCGTATATTTTTTCTTTCTGACAGTCGCTTAAGAATGTAAGGGTGTAAAAGTTTTAAACTTTAATATACTATTTAATTAACCAAAATTCGTAGATATAAAGATTTCGTTAAAAAGAGTTACATCCTATTGGATGTAGTGATGTGAACAAATATGTTCCTACTGCATATTGGAAAATTGATATTAATTAACCATTTCTAATTGAATATAAAATATTTTTCGTCTATAGTTATGAATATGATATAAATCAACATTATCAATATAATCATTTTTTAAATATATTTAATTTTAATACTTCTAATAACAAAAGGATTAAAAATTTAAATTTATAATGTTAACAATTATTTGTTCACAAAATAAATAACTAACAATACTTATATCAAACGTGAGTATTACAATTTATTCAAAATATTCACTATTATTAGCTGAAATTAACTTTTTAATATTTTGTGATCGATCAAAACTTCCTCTTGAATGCCATCGATTGTTATTTTTAATCGACTCAGTAACATATTTTTGGGCTTTAACTAGGACCTGTTAAAAAGAACATAAATAATAAAGAAAATTAAAATGTAAATCAGACACGTAACAAATTAGTCCAAAACGTACCTTTTGTAAAATGACTTACTATTGAATTAAGTCATAAAACAACTATTCACTCCACGGAAATTACATGAATAGCCTACCTATTTCATATCACGTAATGTCACTTCCGTCCCAAAACGTTACTTCCGACAGAGCTTTCATTAGCGTTACAGAAAAGTTTCTACAAAAAAGATCTTTATTTTAATGGACTATAAGATAGATATTTTATTTACCCGAATACTTCTTCAGTTTTTTTTTGCTTAGTAACGTATTTAACAAAGGTCCATACAAAGAGCGTTATTTACCATCGTTTGCACACCACTAACGTGACAAATAAGCAAAGAGCATTCTTGATATTCATAAAACTTATAAAGGTTTTAAGTAATATATGTATTGCTTCAAGTCAGGCCGGTGCCTGTTATAACGTTGCTTGACTAACTAATGGTTAACTTCAGCAATTCTACGGACCACTCATAAAGCGATATGGGTGCCTCGGTTATTTAAAACATTCACACAACGCCATATACTCCCAAACTAAGCAGAGCTTGTACTATGGCTACTAGGCACTGATATAATACATATATACTTTTTTTTTTGTAAATTCATACTTATTATACATAGAAACATCCAGACCAAATCAAACATTAAATGTTCATGAACACAAATGTTAGACTTGAGCGGAATCGAACCCGCGACCTTTGGAATAGCAGTCCGTTACACAAACCACTACGCCATACGGTCGTCAGTCCTACTTTTAAGTCCTCACTTCAGTTGTTTCGAAGACTATGATAGGTTTTGGTGAGTTGAACATCTGCGTCATTACTCTTCTTCCTATCTACTCTACTCATTTTTTTTTGTTTATTAAATGCAACACATATTACAATCAATTAAAACCTAAATCATAAATATATCGTTTAGCTCTGAATCGTAACGTACCTCATAAGTGCACAAAGAAAAATAATAAAGATTATACAAAAATTATCTCTGACTCATAATACTGTAAGTAATATAACAATAAGTAACAAAGTAAGCAAGCAGCTAATGTGATGCAGATCTGAATTAAATGTAAGGTATATACTCACGCCAATGTCAAAGTGTAGTCCCCGACAGTGACGTTGTTCAGGTTCTGCACACATCGCTCCACGGACACAGCATCACCCATCTGCACCATTGCCGTACCTTCCTTTGTCTTCAAGAATTTTATCTGTAAATAATTAATTATAAATTAATTAATAGTTTTACATTAAAATGCCCAAGCCTGATGGTTAGTGATACTGAGGACCTAGTGTGAGCTTGTTTCACATCAAATCGATCGTCACAATAACCTATTGGATTGCGATTGGCATGTACTGATATCTTCACCAATCGCAACGAGGAAACGCGCAGCGCAGAGCTCCCATTAGGTGACGTCACACTCTATAAACCAGACGGTATCTTAACACATGTCGCATCCACGTTGACGACGCTATACGCAACTGAAGTATAACTGTAATTCTTAGAATTAAAATGTATTCATATTTATGAAAAAAAAAACTTTTGTGAAGATGAGTATTTCAGGGATCCAAGATACTGGCGCTGACATAGACGCGGAAGGTCGCATCACCCCATGATGCAGGTCTCCTGTTGGGACCATTCCCAAAATACACCCGTGAGTAAAACCGTGTATCCTTTATAAATAATTCTAAGGCCGCATAAATTAATATTAATTATATGTTAAAACTTATTTTTCGAATTTATTGGAAGCGTTATGATACATGTATACCAATTCTCTATAAACTATAAAAAATAGGTTAAAACTTTATAAATTGAAATTAGACTTAATAAGAGCACCAACCAAATTGTGCAGCAGTTTTTTTATTATTATTTGGTAAGTTTAAATTATTTTTCATGTCATCATATTTAAAAAAAGTTAGAAATAGTATATACTCACTCTGACAACATTGCCGTACAGACAGCACAAGTTGAAAAGTCGGTCTGCGTTTACCGTCTGTGGGTCCAGGCCGTACACCATCATAACAGCTCCTTGCTGCGGAGGACCACCCTGCGAAATAGCAGGGAAAGAGTTACATAACGGTACCAAAAAAAAAAAAATGAGAGCACTTATTCACTTACTAGTCGAACAATAGTAAAATTCAAATTTTATGTCGTAATACTGTACAAATTCCCCAACACAGGAGTTTCAGAACACAGATAAAAAAATGAACTACAAAATCAAGATATCAATCCTTTAACACATTAACTACTGTGTCTCTAAGGGTTGTCTCGTGGACATCGCCTTTTAGAAAAGAAGGAAAAGCAGATAAGGAATGGAAATATGGAAATGGCAGGATATTACTTAAACGGAAGAACTGGATAAGCAATAATTTAATACTGCTTCTGTTACGTCGTATAACTATGTCTGTTACAACACTACGTTTTAAAGTGCTTCGATCACGGACCTATTCGATTTGTGAGTTCCTTACAATGAACCATTGTTTCGAGTTAAGAGTTTCACCATTTATTTTTAACAATCGTTTAAATCTCCTATTCAGGTCACTAAACGACATTCATTCAGTATTTTGACTCATTAAAAATCGATTCCACTACGAAAAATATAGGGCTTGTATCTTTTGATAAATGAATTTTTATCTTACATCGTTAATTGGGTAGATGCCTAAGTTTAATTAAAATACATATTTTGTGTAAAATTTTTATTTCATTCAAGTTTCATTTTTAGGGTTCCGTACCTCAAAAGGTAAAAAAGGAACCCTTATAAGATTACTTTCTTGTAAGTCTGTCTCTCCATGTTTCACCACCGATCTCCTCAGGAACGGGTGGACCTAACAAGTTGAAATACTTTCGAGATACTGAGTTCTATAGTCCCTATTAGGTGTATAAAAATGAAGGTCCTGAGTCAACACGATAAAAGCTATGTTCAAGTTTAGATTTCCGTGAAAACTGTTAAGTAGCAAAATTGACAATTCTAGTTATGTTTTCAATTTAATTTATAATCGTCAAATCAACAGACAAAATAATTGTCTTGACTTGATCCTGAGTTTAGTTCTGACGTTAACTAAAAAGATACTGATTTGACTAAACAGACATCAGCCCTAATTTGATTTTATCTAAAGCTTGTACTAACTACTAGGGAGTGGGTAAGGACAATTTTACCTCTTCAATTACCTGGTTCTGTGGCGGCATATTCGGGTGGTGCATCGGAGGGGGAGGTACGAAACCCTCCCCGCCGTAACCTTCTGGCCCATAGCCGCGGCCATCTCGCTGTAATTAGATAAGAGAAATTGTAATACAATAACCTAATGAAGCTGCACTGTTTATTTATGAGGCGGTACGCACATCGTACGTTTCTGATAACTGTTCGTCACAACCTAGATTTGATCAGTGTTCAAAAAATGAACCCAACGTAACTGTGCTTAAATGGAGTTATATGCACAGTCTTGCTATCAGATGCTTCGCGCCCGCGACAGCTGTTAAACGTGTTATGTTAAGTAAAAAACGCAAAAATGGCACTGCAACAAACGTTTATTTAAAAAGTGTACGTAGCTTGTTCATCTGTTCATTTCACAGCAATACGTCCTACTGCGAGTCTCATCCGCTCCGTTATGGTAAGTAATAAACTACAGAGGATATTCGTTGAAGTTATTGAATGAAACTATTATAATATGTAGTTAACGAGACATTCGTTGGACGATTTGGTATTTTATTAGAGCGACTCAGTTTTTACTTGTACTACAACAAATAAACATCACATTGAGATAGTATCGAATAAAGAAATCAATTAATAATAGCCAAATCTGAGAGCCTAGTCTGAGTTTATTTCACATCTACTCGATCGTCACAGTGACCGCGTTCGGCGCTGCTATTGGCCCGTATTGAGCTCTTCACCAATCAATAAACTTACATTGGGCCTAGTGTGGTGTCAACTTTTTTTTTATGTTAGAGAGGTCAGACGAGCAGACGAGTCACCTGATGGAAAGTGACCATCGCCGCCCATGAACGTTTGCAACTCAGGAGTCACAAACGCGTTGCCGGCCTTTTAGGAAGGAGTACGCTCTTTTCGTGAAGGTTTGAAGGTCGTATCGGTCCGGAAATACCGCAGACGATAACCCGATAACTTAAAAATATTTATAACAAAATATTACAAATATGGGGAAATTTATTTAAATATTTGTTGGAACCCCAATGGTTTTGTCCTAATGTACCCAACCTTTTCATGTTGCACTTCTTTGCAAACTAGTGCCTCACTGCTCCTACTACTCCTACCTACCCTACTACTCACTCCTCAAAATAATTCTTAAAAACCAAAACTTCCAAATAACTTAAAAAAACAAAATGAAATCTGAACAAAGTATTACCCGAATGAAAATTGAAACTCTCATTAAAAACTTAATTCCCTCTGAATTCAGTGCGATGATTAAACTCTTTTCCGATAAATTAATTACTTGAAATTTAATTCGGAAATATGATGACTCGAAACAATTAATTAATTTGACGGGGCTGTTGGTCTAGTGGTTATTAACCCTGACTGCTAAGCCGCAGGTCGTGGGTTCGATTCCCAAGATGATGAGCAAGATGATTTGTTCTGTCTGGGTGTAATTTATCAATGATATGTATGTATTTAGAAATATATAAGTATGTTTATCAACAGTCTGGTCACCATAGCACAGGCTCTGCCCAGTTTGAAATCAGATGGCCGTGTGTGAGATGCGTGGAGTTATTATTATTATAATTTAATTATTATTGAGTTGTGTTGTGTAGTCCTCATTTCAATACTTTTGTAGTTAAAAGGATTTAAAACTGCATTTAATTAACAATTTGTGTATAGAAGAATCACGATGATATATAATATTCACGTATCGCGTAGTGGTTTAAGCGGTCATCTCGCCGCATCTGAGTGTTGAGGGTTCGATCCCCACATGGGAAAACACTTTGTTGTTCTGAATCTGGGTGTTTTTTGTGTGAGCTTTATGTATGTTTGTGAAGTCCCCCGCGACACAGGTTATAATCCTAGTGCGTGAGTTTATTAAAGATAAAATAAGATATCCAACATATACTCACATCTATTGTCCAAAGGGGTATACAGAGGTGTATTAAATGTGGCATAATGGGGGCAAGCCCATTGCCATATCTTTCTTATCAAACATACTTATATATTGCTAAATATATACATATTATAGATAAATAAGATACAGAACAAATGATCGTGCTTCATCACACAATATTTGTCCTGGGTGAGAATCGAACCCACGACGTCTAGCTTAGCAGTCATGATCACTAACCACTAGACCAACACACCCGTCAATTCGATCGGCGATAGAATATCTGACGATAGATTTATAATTTTTTTTGGATTGTAGACCCAGAATCGTTCGACCATTATACCCGTCGAACGATGGCCCTTGGACAAAGTGATTAGTTAAGCTACAATAATCCTTTTGATTAATAAATGAAGTTTACCGGATGATGTGGCGGCGGCGGTCCATGTCTATCCTTCATCATGCCCGGTGGTGGAGGCCCACCGCTTCCGTAGTCCATATCTGCGGGTAAATAATTCATTACTATAACTCGGTATTTATTTTCTTCTTCAGTATAATACACGTGTTATACATTGTTCATATTTTTTCTTAGTGATTAATGTAGGATTTTCATTAAAGTAAGTAGGGTAAAGTACGTTTTAAGTTCCGCCGAATAATTTTCAGCTGGAAAACCGTCCCATTAGGCTTCTTTGCAGGTGGGGTGGCCTCATATTTGACAACATTGTTTTTAAGAGTCCTGGTGGCTTACAAAAAGCAAGAAACAATAGACTCATGAAATGGAAGTATTTATTACAAAACAAAAGATGTACCGCGGTTACGATGGGGTCTGAATATGCAACTTTGAGAAACGCTTAACTTTTTTATTATACTTATATCTAAGTAGAAACACACAATTACGGTGCTACCACGATGCTCTGGGCATTCCCCTATCACACATAGTGCTATAATCACATACATGCAGGGATAGGCAGGTCTTCAAATGAAAGTCCGTGTAGGTATATATGTATTTATTGTTTATAGCTATGTATGTTTACAATTTTGTATGAGACATGATGTACACTGTATGAATTATTGTACTATACGTATATAATTATATATTTTGATATACCTTTGTGTTTTAACGTATTCAAAAAAAAAATCATTATCATTATTAAGGCAATATACAGTTTAACTATAACTACTCGTAAGTTGTTTTAGGATTTTCTTTTGCATTTAGATACTCCGTTAACCACGAGGATATACGTCATAAATACTTTGTATAAGTTTTGGTTTATGGGTTTAAATATCTACAAAAGTGTCTATAAGGTTAGAACTAATTATTACATAAATATAACATAGAATAAGAAAAAGCTTTTAACTTACATTTTAAATTTTGAATACGTTAATGTGATACCGAAAAGAGTTTTAAAGAATATTGAGTGTTAACTTAATGATTAATTAACATTAAAATGTATAAATTTAATATATCTGTAAAAGTAATTCTAATGTATAATATAGGTTAATTATGTTTAAGTATTTGATGTACAAGTAGGTATTATGTATGTGTTTATAAAATCCTAACAATAAGATGTTTGTGGAACATTACATGGACGAACTGTACGCAGAAATTAATTTATATCTAGGAATCAGAAAAACGTTAAATGTACATATTAATCGCCAAAATTTACAATTAGCTACATACGTTATCAATTTAATCCTAAATCATTATACAGAGGAGTTAAATAATTAAGTTAATGACATCACATGGTCGTTGAAGGCTGAAATCCGAGAAGAGTAGTCCCACGCTATACCAGTTGTTGACAGTTTATTATAGCGCTGAATCTTTGAGTCTGTATGTAATTCTGTATTGCGAACATTGTAGTTATTTTCAAAGCCAGACTACATTAGCCATTAAATTTTCATTAAAAGAAAGTAAGTTCATTAATCTAGCTGACTGATTTCGACTTTGATTAAAACTCTTCCCTGTTGTCTATCGAGACAAAAAGTTCAAGAAATGTTTCTTTTTATGTTGATTATAGACACATTAAAGATTTTCTATACACAAACATAGTATTGTTATAATTTTATGACATATTTTCAGTGATGGTAAGTATTAATTTATAGTATCTAGTTATGATCAAAAGATTTTGCTGGTTATGTTAATGAAACAAAAAAAAAAAATTATCAACACACCCGTACAAAGGACTTAATAAGGTATCTACATAAATTTAATATTAATCTTGTTGTAATTCAGTGTAAATATACCAATACTTAAAGGAGCCTTTTAGACAATATCACTTAGATTTGCATGATTTTTTAATAAATTGAAATGTTTTAAGTTTTATGGTTTTGCATTATCAAAATGTATTTTATTTTTGCAACATGGCTAAAAGTTCCAAAAGCGTGTCGTGTGTGTAAGTGATTATGGTAGTACAGGACACACAAGTTACTAATAAGTTAGTACACAAGCATAAATACAAATTTTAATTCTAAATACATCGTAATTTAAATTAATACAAAACGCTTATATTGATCTAATGGTAGTTTAGACGAAGGTTGTTATTCATTCCATCAAACTTCATGCGATCTTTAACTCTTATTTAAATATCTATCTTGGCTTTCTTTACTGAAGATGAGTTCGAGAAACTTCGGCTCAAATAACGATAAAAGTATTGCGTTCCTACCAGCCATTGACGTCCTTCGTTTAGCAATTTACATCAACTGTAGTATATACTTCGAATAGCATTTAAATGCTAACGCAGGTTTCGCTTTTACGAGAAATATTTTATGATTAAGGGTCTTTCTCTTTAGTAAAGAACGCAACTGATAGATAGACATTTAATATCTTATGGTAAATAGCAGGATTTAAAACATTTTAGTATTACTTCCGAGATCATTCCCATCAAGAATTTTTACTTGTAATTACTCAACTAAGCAAACATTTTACGTAGCGTTTTAAAGGTAAAAACACACTTTCACCTTTCTTTTGATCATCTGCTGTTTTTCTTTAAAATAAATGTAAAGCAAAACTGTTTGCTTAACTAAGTAACTAGTATTCGTTTGCCAAACGTTAAAGTTATACTCATCAAAATAATAAATGTTATGTCATCTCAACTTTTCAGAATGACAAGTAGATGGCAGAAGTAAGGGGATGGTGGTTTTCTCTTTTTCAGAATTAATTCAGAATCTTATAGGGTTTGAAACTTCAAGTCGGTACTGAATAGTATGCTATGGCTAAGTACCGAAGTATCAGAATCAAATCTATATAAACCACTTGATGTTTCACTAAGGGGGTCATCGATGGCCCGCATATAGTTTGGCAATCCCTGGGAACAATTTAAACGTCTAAGTAAATTGGAAGATTATAGGTAAATAGCGTAATATTAGTGGTTTTTTTTTGCAGTAAGCAAATAATTAATATTTGAAACACCAGAGTGTGTGTATTAACTTCCAAGAATAGGGAAGAGAATAATAAAAAGTCCTCTCCGAGGAGCTTTACCATTAGAACTCTTCTGACAAAACACAACTCTACGATGCATTGGTCAAGCAGTCTTCTGATTAGGGAGGTGCTTTAACAATCAGGTGGTTCTAAATGAGAACAAGATTCCACTGTGTCTTCTGCGTGAGGTGACATGACATTTATATTTTGGGTAAGTCGACATGAGTTCAAGACCTCGGTAAAGTGACATAGAGTGTGTTGGTTATATGTAGATTCCATACAGACCGTTCTGCGTATGCTCGCAGGAGTGTTGGCTGTGCTGGCTGCACGAGTCTTCGCTGCAAGACCTGGTGGAAGCTTGAGTAGTTGTGGACGCATCTGTTGGTCATCCGCAGTATCAAACCGAATCAAATGTGATTTTCGCAAATATTGTTTTTTTTTGTATAATATATAACATTTTGTGTAATATGTTATCTAATGTATCCATTTTCAGCGGTGGGAAAAGCTTCTACAGGTTTCCAAAAATGTAAAGGGAGGAAATCGAAAAAAAACTCATTCGGGTGCATCAGATATTTTGGGGATATGTTATTTGGATGCCAAAACCGCTCCCATTGAAAGGTCTTACGATTTTAAAGTGACAGGAAAGCTGGTAGCGTATTATCGAAAATGCCAACTGCAAATTTGATAAATCGCCATTTCGAAATACCCGAGCGTGTTAGATTTTATACAGAGGGTTCCGCTTGCTGTTCCTGTCATACTAGCCAAAAATCTGACGATAATTTTGCAGGGTATTTTAAATCTAATGGATAGAAAGTATTTTGATTTTTATAAAATGTGTCAAATAACGGCACGAAGGAATATGTAGATATTTAAAGAACATTTCTTGCATTGTTTGCTTCAAAATAAAAAAAATGTCAAGGTCATGGGTTTTTTTTGGAACTTTATGACCCTATAACTGCTTTATGTTACGCTTAAATCGTCTGTTTTTTAAATACACTCTAATGTGTATGTAATTGACTCAACTTACCTTGATCTTACACGCTCAACTATTTCTAGCCATAAATTATTATTTTTTACTAATCTGATGGGCTACCCTAGAGGAACCCCCTTTATGTAGGGCTTAGGGAGGAGGTACTCAACTGGGTGTAAGGTATTCCTCCTCTGTTAATCTGACACGTACGAGTAAATCCCGAAATCCCTTCTAGGGCTCCCCTATTATTGGCCGTAGATATTAACCGTCCCAAAACAATAGTGTACGCTCACATTCGGGTCACGTGATGGTTAGTGCGACTCAAAGAGTCACAACTGTGTTGCCGCCTTTTGAGTTTCCTCCCCCAGAATTAGGAGGATTTTTTTTCTTTAACACAATGTTATTACTTGCACTTGGACACGAGTGATTTTTGTCTACAAAGATTTATTTAAAATTACATTAACTTACATAATTTTAATTATGCGTTTTCGTTGAGATTTGCATGTCAGATAAATTTTAAGTATTATTAAACAGTTTAAGACGCCTGGACTGAAAATTACTCGTTATTAATAAATTCAATTTTTCGTACATTTTATCGATTATTTGTATTTAAGTGAATTTGCGCAAGATGGCTGGCAGGAGCTGGATGCGAGAAGCCCAAAATCGATCTAAGTGGCGTGCAATGGGAGAGGCCTATGTCCAGCAGTGGACTGCGATAGGCTGATGATGATGATGATGATGAAGTGAATTTGAAGAGCCGCAATACTACGGTAAAAGACCTAACTATGTGAATTTAAAATGAAGTTTGAAAAAAAAAAACATCTATTGTGTATTAATTGGTTATTTGCTTTGTTTCAAAGATTTAAATTTAGTCATTAAGAATTGTACATCTTGCGTCAAAATAAAAATAGCTACATAACTCCATGGTTTTACGGAAAAGGTTATTAAAATTGTGCGAGTTACCGCCTATACAAAGTTGTTTCGTCATGAAAAGTATGAAACGTCAAACGGTACCTCTTAGATTAGATAGACTATAAGAAATCAATTTATTTATTTGGAGTCTTATGTAACATATCCTAAATACCACACAACACATTATAATAATATATTTAT